ATACTATTACATAGAATTATCTTTCAATAATCGATAATATATTTAGACTATATCTACCCGTAGACTTTTTGAAAAGTATTTTTTTTTTAAGGGTAAAGATCCCTTTGTTTGTTTTCTCACTGCAAGCCTTCGGCATATGTCTCTTTGCACGTATTGATTCTATATCATATAGTGGTTTCAATTTTTGAGTTCAATTATAGAAATAAAATTACTTTGATATTCTAATTGTCTGGAGTTTCACCTGTACGTTACTGGAATTTTACCATTTTGTTTAACGCAATATATTATAAGCAATATATTTTCCATCAAAATGTATCATCCAGGCAGAACTATTTGAGAGCTTTTACAAGGAGTTACTCAAATAGTTTCCATTGTACAATAAACACTGTTTACCGCAAGAATTCTTAAACACAAAACAATGATGAAGAAGGCATTATCCTTACACTGCGCCTGAATGGAGCTTTTAGAACATGGGCAGAATGATAAAACTAAACTGATAAATCATTCTATTCTCTGTATGGGGCTGAGTAATACGCACATTACCAGCACCATCTTTCATGCTACGTACTTGGCACTTAATAACTTACACTAAATTTATGGTAAATAAAAAGTGTGCATTATGGCATTAACCACACTGCTTAGTGTTCCAACTAAGTTTAACCTTTAAATAATATATCCAACAAAAAAATAATCAAAAATGTGAAAATGTGGGATGCTAAAACGCTATAACACAGAATTTTGAATGCTGTCAAGGACCAGACTATACCAAATAGAAAGCCAAACTCTGAAGTTACCTACTAATAACATCAAAATCACCAGTCATTTATTATTGATCATGTGTCAAGACATTTATGATCTTCAAAGAAATTACCCCAATATATAATTCAATCATTACAGCCGAAAGCAGTGTTGGGCACGTTACTTTGAAAAAGTAATTAGTTATAGTTACTAGTTACTTCTCCCAAAAAGTAACTGAGTTACTAACGGAGTTACCCCACTATAAAAGTAACTGGTTACCAGTAAAAGTAACTATTGCGTTACTTTTTCGTTTTGTTCTGGAACATAATGTGCACCCGACGTGCGCATTTTTACCTTTAAAGGCGCGTTCAGACCAAAAGCTTCAAAAAGCTTTTGACGTGCTTCAACTGACGCCGGGATAGTTTTGTCATTTTGGTGCTTGAAGCTTTTGACGCGAGTGACGCGCCTGACGCCGGTGGGAGGAGCTTCTCTGTTGTCTGTAGTCAGGACAGCGGTGGATTTTTCAATGAGCAGCGAGCCTTTATTTGTTATTTAAAGCAAAATAACGTTGTTGTAGGGCTTCAACAAAACATTTTCTGGGTTCACCACAGACTTGAGAGGCTGCAGTGTTTGCAGAGTTCCGTCATTTACTCCAGGAGCTGCGTACGGAGGAGTTTCGCTTTCAGCGGTACTTCCGCATGTCACTTGCCCAGTCTGAGTTCTCAAACCCTGGCTCTCCCCTCTCCCTGCCTCTCCCCGCCTCTCCCCGGCTCTCGCTCGCCTCTCCCCGGCTCTCGCTCGCCTCTCCCCGCCTCGCTCTCGCCTCTCCCTGCCTCCCCCTGCCTCTCCCCGGCTCTCGCTCGCCTCTCCCCGGCTCTCGCCCGCCCGGAGCTGCCTTGCTCTGAGCCAGACTCATCGTCAGCCTGTTCTTATATTAAATAAACTACGTTTACTACACAGCATGTGTACAATGATTTTTGTTACTCAGAATGTTACTACTCATACAAATAATATTACTAATAACAATAATGACAATAAAACAGCAGCAGCAGATACATGACTTCTCTCCATGACAGAGACAGACCCTCTGCTGCTGCTCCTCGTCTCCTGATTGGTTGAAGCCCGCGTCAAAGCTTCAAAAGCTCAGCTTTGCTCAACTTCGGCGTCAAAGGGATTGTTGTGATACGCGAGCGTTTCGCGCGTCAAAAGCTTAAAGTGAGCGCGTAGTACGCGCGACTCTTGAAGCTTTTGACGCGCGTCAAGTGACGCCGGGGCTCTCGGCTTCACCTGACGCGCTTCACCATTCACTTTCAATGGAAACCTGACGCTTTTGACGCCGAAGTTAAGTCCGGTGTGAACGCCCCTTAACAGTGCCAATATTTCCATCTAGAAAAGGCTGTTTTGCTGCTGAAGTCCTGTTCACTCTTCATCTCCCTCTGTGCTGTAAGCACTAAACACCAACACCCGCCACTGTGAATGTGGAAACACCGGTGACGAGCAGTGAGGCTGGTGAAGCACTGACTTCAGTCCAATCAGATGAACATATACATCATATAAATCAAGTGGACAATTTGTTTGGCTACAGCAAAATATGTTTTATGCCCGCATTGTTTGTTCATACAAAACGCAAAACTATGAGTTATGGGTCTTACCTTATAGCTATACCTTATAAATGACCTGCACAGTCCACTTCGGTTCAGACCAGTTCCTTGTTTAAATCCAGTGAATGGTTTGAGCGTAGATATGTAATCCTCCATTTGGAAATGAGTCCAATGAGTTTTAAAAAGTAAAACAAAACGCGTGTGTCCTCCGTAAACTCCTCTGTTTTGCTGCAGCCGGCTACATCCAATTTCTAAAATCAACCGTCTTACACTTCACCTCTCTTTCTTATAATTCCTATAGTAATTGAAAAATTACCCTATGTGCATTTTAGATTATGTAAAAATGTGTTATATGTATGTTAGCCAAACCTGTTGCTGTCCTTAGCAGATAAACCAGGAAGAGCAAGGAGCTTATCGATGGAATTGTATGCAGCCGACTTCTGCGCTCACATGCGCTCCTCTGAGGCTGGCCTCACGGTGATACAAGCCATGGTTGAGCGCGATTAAGACCCATATTTGTTTCAAAAACACAATTTATGAGCCATCCTCTCAACTGTAGACATGTAGATTGTAAAGGAAATATGATTTACATCAGCCAATAATTGCTGAGAGGTTTTCTCATCCTCCCTTCTCTCATGACAACACGTTCATTGTGCGTCTTGAGTAACGCGCAGTAACGGGATGTCGGAAATGATAACGGCGTTATAGTTACTGTCAAAGTAATTAGTTAAATTACTCGTTACTGAAAAAAGTAACGGCGTTAGTAACGCCGTTACTAGTAACGCCGTTATTCCCATCACTGGCCGAAAGCTAGTAAATATTTCAGTGGCTTCCTCTTGAGTGAGTGTTGAAAATGGAAATGTTTTTCTTTTCTTCATATAGACAGAATCTATGGACAGAAATTGAGATGATAATCTGCAACTTGCATCAAATAAATAACCTAATCTGGTGTCGAGTGTGCAGACATTCTCTCAGTTACAAAAAAAATAAAAAATAATTGGTTATTGTGCAAATATTGTTATGCTTATGATGTTCAATAAATCAATAATAAATCATGAGGGTGTTTTTTCTATGCATAAACTTTCCACATTTGAGGCTGGGGGCTGGGAATTCCCTCTAATCTCAATATTTCATCCCAGGCCGGGGAAACCTTCACATTCTGTTTTCATGTCTTTATTAAAATGTGCAATCAAGCGTCACAATCAGCTAAGGTTCTTCAATATTGTGAAAAGTCATGCGAGTTATTGATTTGAATTATGGCGACACATCCTTCACATCACATGAGAAAAAGGCTAATCCTCAAGCGTGCGTGATCAGACCATCAATGTTATCAATAATGACCATACACAACATGTAGCACACGGGCCTCTTTATGGGGAGCATTTTCCTATGCCTATACAAACAGGTGACCCTCCGGAGTTTACACTAGGGTCCTTTAAGGATCATCTCTGGATCAGAAAGTAGGGCATGACGATGTACAATCAGCCAGCTCTCCGAAGATTATCAGGAAATGTTTGAAAATGTTTATGATCAGCATCATTTTAGCATTCCACAATCCTTTAAATTAAACTAAGGAATACAAGAAAATCATCCACAAACCTCACAAAATGCAGCCAGACTCACATTAGCATAAGCTGCTCAAAAGATTCCTCCAAGTACATTTCTGCCACCTTGAAGTGCCAGCAGGAAAATGAGAGAAAGTGTTGAATTGCATTTGGCTTTACCAGTATTTCTAGGTCAGTCATTTTAGCAGGATATAATTTGCACAACTCCTTCACAGATTTGAGCAGAGCAGGGCCAAGCGATTGCAGCTAAGTATGCTCACAATTTGGCTAAATACAGGCAGCAGGCAAAATGCTTTTTGTTGGTAGAAAAGTCACAGTATGCAACAGCCAATCACACCAGCAGCAACCCTGTGCATTAATACTAAAATGTGATTTTATGGTATAGTTGTTTATTGAATCATACAAATACACCATCAATAGTCCCCTGCAATTTTATACATAATCGAACAATCTAAAAAAAAACATCTTGTCTCAAATTTAAAAAAATACCTCCTCCTGCTGCGAGAAACTCAGTAACCAGTAGTAAACTATATATACACAACATAAAATATGCACGGTCAGTAAAATTCTGCTCCTGACAAAATCCCTCAAAAAAGGCATTGAAAAAAGCTTTTTCTCCAGGGATAATCAAGTAAATCTCATACTACACGGCTCCGAAGTGTGCACAAACATCTTTTATCGATCCTCTTTATGCTAACTTAAAACCCACCAATACAACTGTGTGTAATGCCCAAAAAACCTGCAATAAGGTGTAGGTGCAATAAGGTACACTAGCCTCCTACAATGGGCGCGAGATTGAAACAGACCTCTGCACAAGCCACTTTGTAGTGCTGCGTAGTGCGACTTGAATAGTTATCGAGACTGGATCGCGTACTTTACACTGACCACCAGGAGGGAATTCTTCTTCAGCCACATTACTGAATTTCTCGTCTTTAGAGCTTTCACACAATAGTCTTTGTCCAACATTATTAAATTACTTGAACCCAGATAGAATCTCTGCTTATATTCAACAGGATAGGATAAAGTTTTGTCAAATTGAAAATATATAGTAATGACATGAAAGAGTCAGCCCCTAAACAATATGGCAATATCCCAATCAGTAGAACATGTTCTTATGTGGGAAGAAAAAGTCTTTCTGATAAACACCTGCAGAAAGCACTTGATGATCTGTGAGTCTTCACAGATACGCCACACTCATCCCCTGTGTGGGCTCCATTAAGTGCAATTGTCTGAGCAGTAGGCAGAGCTTTCAGACGGCATAATCACCTCACTACAACCAAACTTACCAGGTGAAAAAAAAACCCACTTATTTCCATTTGAAGTGTGTTTTTGTACTTAGACAATAATCTAGATTCAAACAAGTCTTCATTCTGTCTTGTATTTTTCTAAGATGACAATGAACCAATCACACCGGACTACTTTTTTCTTTCTAAAATCAGAGGAACAAGCTGCACCTACAAATCAAAAACATGATTTCCCTTCCCATATTTCAGTACGCCGTGAAATGAAAGTGTGTTGAAAGGCGCTCACCTCCTTGTCCATGTCCTCCAGGTCCTCCTTGCACAGTGTGTACAGAGGCAAAGTTTCAGACATGCTCGGCTGCCGGTCCCGACGAGACGGCCCGGGCTGCTCATCATCGGGGTCCAGTCCTTCCTTGTCTTCTGCTTGATTCTGACCAGTTCTCCTAAGAAGCACACAGTCATTATTATTGCAGATAAAAGTGCAATCCTCAAATTGTTTCATCCAAGGCCCAATATATTTGTCTACACAGAGTTGTAAAACTAATTCAAATCAACTGAGATAATTGTAATGTACAAGTCAGGCCTGATGGCGGCGCTGTGAGGCTGCAACAGGAAAGGCCTCCAGTAGAGGAATACAACTTTAAAGTGATAGTCTGGAACTCTAAATGAATTACAAATTTTAAGAATGGCATTAAATTGACCTCCTGGCCTTAAATGTTGATATAAAAGTAATTTTATGAATTCTAATATTACGGGTAAGTCCCGCCTTCCCTTCTCTTAGCTATAGCTCAAAATCCACGATGCCAATGTGAAATACTTTTACAATTTTATCTAAAAATATAACCATTTTTGAGAACCACTGGAGAATACATAATGACACACTCCAGATTAAAACTATACAAATGACAAACTAAATCCATGCATTTGTCTCCAGTAGGTTAGACTACTGCAATGGCATGCTCACAGGTCTGTCCAAACAGGCTGTAAAACAGCTGCAGTACATTCAAAATGCAGCAGCTCGAGTCCTGACTAGAACCAGGAAGTATGATCACATTAGTCCAGTTCTCAGGTCTCTGCACTGGCTTCCTGTGGCTCAGAGAATAGACTTTAAAACAGCTCTGCTTGTGTACAAGTCTCTCCATGGCCTAGCACCAAAATATATTAGTGACATGTTAGTACCATATGAACCAGTCCGGACTCTGAGGAGCACAGGGACTGGACTCCTGTTAGTGCCCAGAGTCAGGACTAAACATGGGGAGGCTGCTTTTCAGATTCATGCTGCTAAAATCTGGAACAGTCTTCCTGAAGATGTGAGACAGGCCTCCTCTCTGACAATGTTTAAAACCAGGTTAAAGACAGTTCTGTTTAGCTGTGCATACAACTGAGGGATTTTATACTTTTAGCTTTCTTTTTGATGTTCTGTGATTATTTATGATTTTAATGCTTTCTTGTTTTGTTCAGCACTTTGAATTGCCTTGTGTATGAATTGTGCTATATAAATAAACTTGCCTTGCCTTGCCTTAAATCCATAACCTACCAAAATTATCAGCTCATTATTCATCAATGGTTTGGTACATTACAGCATTCTGTAAAGAGAGTCTACTTTGTTACAGGTCTGAATTCAGCAAATGGTGAAACTCTTTAGGCTCCGGGTCTTCATTACAACCATAATCAAATACACAGCCAAAAATACATAACATAATCATCTGTGTATACAATAGGCAACATCATGAAAGATGACTGATGCTCTGAGTTTACCTGGGAGCAGAAGGGTCGGACAGTGAGGCTTGGAGGTAGGGTGGTAGTCCAGCAGCAGGAGGACCTCTACGGATGAGTTTCCCTGTAACTGGGTCATAGGTGCGCACCTCAGGCGGGGGGACTGGAGCTCTGGCCTGGACGGGCATGGGCTGAAAGAGCGGCTGCTTGAGGGAGCCCTGTGCATCGGTGAACGCTGCTGGACTATTGCTCCTAGTGCAAAAAAACAACAGATAATGCCTAGGTCAGGAGTACCCAACTTTAAAAGCACAAAAAATAACCATGTAATAAAATGCATGTGATTAGGTACTAGCTCTCAAAATAGTTTGGTTTTTAGTTTTAGTCATGTATTTTTGGCCTCATCTTTAGGTCAATTTGAAAAAGAGAAGACCACCTATACTCAGCTGATAAGTTCTCAGTATGTTCTAGATTTTTTTCTTGTAAGATAACGACATTTGGTCTGATCTGCTCACAAAATGTTTAACGTCTTTCTGTCAGGGCAAACAACATGTATTTATGACACAAACAAATGTTAGGCACTTCAGCTTTAAACTAACAAAGTAAAAAGAGTATATGTGCACGTTTATACATTTTTTCTTTCATTTTGCATTTGAATTTGGACTTTCTATTAGCATACTTATGAAGGCGTGTATAATTATTCATAAGCTGTAATCCTTTCAAGCCAGTTCCTCCATCTTGGCCTTCATTACCGTGGCGTCCTGGAGAGGTCTTCCTTCAGAGGATACAAGCGTTCCTCCACTCTCTCCCAGCGCTCCAGACAGCTCCAGAGCCAGTCGGGGTTCACAACATGGAGGTGCTTACACGCCTGAGCCTGCCGCACCTTCTCTGTGCCTGCCACACAAGCACCCAGTTTATGAGTTTGACTTTTACAGAATGCGCATATCTTACCTGCCACATAAGAGTGAATAGCAGAGTACAATTTTTTTTTTTTTTTTTTACACACGATGCATATTAATTTATTCCTCCTGTGGACTCACCACCTGCAGAGGGTCAGTGAGGGGCTGGTGCTATGAGACTTGGGTGGCATCTCTGATTGCCACCCCCCTGACCCAGAAATTGATTAAAGGGTAGAAAATGGATGGATGGATGGATGGCATATTAATTTATATGAATAGAATTATACATGTATTAAATTATATTAATGAAAAACTAAAGAAAATTGACCATACAATTCTTCCACTTGGTTTGGCTTTGAAAAGATTCAAACTCACAAATGGCTTTGAGAATCAGCTGAATTAATAAATGCTCGCTATTCTGTAAAAAACAGTAAAAACGGACCATGTGGCTGGTTTTTGAAGAGTTTGTTTTGAAATGTAGTGATTCTCATATGGGTCTCCCTCCCTGTGGGTTTCCCTAGTGCTCCCCAAGGTTTCTCACTTTTTCCCACTGGGTTTTTTTAAGAGTTTTTCCTTGTCGATGCAGGAGGGTCTTGTTGGACAGTTAGTGTCCAACAGAAAGGATTGGTGATGATCAGGACACTTTAGCATTCTACAACATGTATGGACATTTTCTTCTGTGTGTGCTTTATATTCTTCATGTGTTTTAACTGTTGATTCTCTGACCTGTGTTGGTGATTTCAATGGTTTTGTTAAGTCCTCTGAGATGACTTCTGTTGTGACCTAGGGCTATACAAGAATAAATTGTATTGTATTGTGTAATCAAACTTGAACAAACACTTCTTAAAAAGACCTGCACCATCAAAATACACTGCACTATATATTTTCCCCTGTTCATTTTGATAAAATATGTACTGTGGCTCAGTATGTGGTGTAAAACCTTTGATTGTGCCAGGGAACACTGGTGTGCTTTGAGGAAACAATTCCAGAATCTATTAAACTTTTGGAGTTGGTTCAAAGCCAACTAGATAACGCACACATGTATTTTTGATATTGACTGATGTGATTATGTAAAAGTGGGTAACTACAAACAAACAAACATTGGTTTCAATGACGGCCTGGCAATAAATTGAGTTAAATCAATTGGTCAGGTTATTAATCAAATTGGCAACATGAAAAGTCAAACATTTCAAAAAACGAGGTCAGGGTAATGTGTGAAGGTTCTTCTCAGGTTCTGCCTCAGATTCTTGGGCCTCTGTAGTTCAGTCGCATACCATGAGTTCAATCATTGTTATGTCAACATCTGTATCATCTTTTATGACCATTATGGGGGAAAATGGAAAATCAAGGCAAAATCACGTGGCCAATATGAGCTTCTTTCATTAAATACTGGTTTCCAGTGACTTCAAATAAAATAGCAATCCTTCAAATGGGTGCATTATCATAGAGATTTGCCTTTTTGTCATATCACCCAGCCCTAGAGTCAAGAGTACAGACCTGCTCTTGCTGCAATGAGATGTGTTGTCGAGTTCAGATCCTGAGCTTTGAGGATGAGGTTCTTGCCGATCTTGGCTCCCAGTGCTTTGGCGTGGTAATACTCCCGAGTTTTCTCCATTGGATAATTGGTCGGGTAGAGCCCACTGAACACTAACGTCGTGCCTTCCAAGGTTTTGCCTTTAAGCTCTGGCACGATCTTCCGAATGTCTGGCGTTTCGGGCACTTCCTTTGTCAGGAAGCGGCTGTAGCGTGCAAAGTACTCGGCATGGATCCTTTCTAAAACTTCCTCCAAGTAAATTAAGTGATCGTCCTGGTCCGTGTCTCCCTCCTCTTCGTCGTCGTCCTCCATGTTCTGGTCTAAGACGTCTCCCCCCGTGGTGATACCCGACTGTTGGCTATTCTGAGACTCAGTTTCGGCCTCTTGTTTGTCCGAGCAACCATTGCCAAGGCTCGAGTCTGGAAGTTCTGCAGCTTCCGAACAAGTCTCTGCTTTAGTCTCACCTTCTGTTACAGATTGCTCTTCCACCTGTTCAGATTCACCGTCTTTTGCCGCTTTGTTTTCACCGTCACTGTCTGTTTTGGGAGGTTTGTCTGATATGGAGTCACTGTCGCTGTCACTAGAAAGGTCAAAATCTAGATTATTTGTTTTGTGGTCGAGTGCAGAAGAGTTGACGTTAGCGTCTTTGGGGACTAGTGTCCTTTCATCGGCGTCCTCAGTTTGGACGTTTACCTCAGCCTCCGTTTCATTACCCTGAGTGGATACATCCATATCGGTGCAAGAGGGATGAGATTGTTCGTTTTTAGATTTTTCCTGAGTTGAACTTGTGGATTCGACTTTGCTGTCCTCCTTTGTGCTTCTACTGAGACCATTGTTTTGTTCATCTGTCAATCCTGATGGCTCGGCGTCCTCAGACAGACGATTTGACGATGATCCTGGAGGGGAAAAGAAGACAAAAGCAAATGTTTCAGCTTAGTCAGTTTATAATTTATCTGTGAATGACGCCCTGACTGGCAAGCTGTTCAATTGTAGCACAGCACTCGGATATGTGTTGAAGGCAATGATCAATAATGTAAAATAGAAGTTTATTGACAGAGGACTCATGTCAATCGTGCTGCTGCTGCCATTGGCTAAAATACTCTCAGAGATAAATATTATTTATTATTATTATGTCCAATGTTGTTTGAGATAAATACATTTAAAACCACAAAAAGGTCGTAAAATAGATCTACTATCTATTATCTAGGATAATTGATGATTATCAAAATTGTCTTAAATTCTAGTGTAATAAAATACAATATTCTGAAAATAAATACATAATAGATAATTGTTTATATTTATAATAACCACATGAAGAATAACTAAATCTCAGAGTCCAGCCGAGAAGTAGATATTATGGCCAACTGGGGGCATGTATCTTTCACTTTTCCACAGATGAAGTATATTTATCCTAATTGAGTGAACTCTGGGTTCACTTGGGACTGAAGTGGGAACGCACCCAAGACAGAGCTGCTTGTGAGAAAGAGGTGAGAGAAACACTTTGACCAGAGCCTGCCACTGGAAAGACCTGATTAAATCCAAGATCTTGAAAAACCCAATATTTCTTGCAAGTTAGTTTGAAAACAGAATATTGTGTACAATTCCTCAAAGAGGATCTAAAAAGAACACACATAAAGATCAATACACAGACAAATGCATTGAAATCTCAATATTGAGCTAAAATAATGTTATAAAAAGTCTAGGCCCTGCTTTCTTCAGTCCGACTGCACGGCTTGGCACTCTGCCCCTCAGTGAAACATGGTCACATCAAAAGCACTGCTCCACCAAAGACAGAGATGCATAGATGCATGCATATATTTTTCCTTTGAGCAAACATGACTACACGGCATTTGAATCCTCGGTATAAGGCATATTCAGGAAACAAAACTTGGTAGCCCTAACCAATTAGGTAGAAACAGTGGGAATGAAGGTGGTCACAGGTGTGAGGGGGACGAAACAGCTTCTTGGGTATAAGACAATATAACAATTATTCAAATATGAAATAATCGCACTAAAAAAATAACAGTGTGTAAGGTACAAGGGCTGTGAAAACTCATTTGCATGTTATGTACACTTTACTGCACCTTTTCGAGATGTTTGAGCCTCCCGTGAGCCAGGGGGGGCGTTGATGTCTCCAGTCCCCTGGAAATAAGTATATTTCTTCACAGTGATGAGGTTAGGAGCAAACTTCCACACGTCCTCGCGATCGTCTATGATACACACCATTGAGTCCCCACATGGGAACAGATTCCTGCACAGAGGAGATAAAAAACACAACAAATTATTCAACTGTTTTTTTTAAAACGATGTCAGATGTATCCATTCACACCGCACAGACAGACGCCTCCTTCTGTGCTCAGAAATGAGAGACAGATTGTCCACGATTGGAGAGGAAATGATATAGAGGGATTCTGTGCTGCCAACACCTCATACTGTGTCAAATGTGCCAACTGCCCCATAATAACCTCCCAGGACAACATAATGAGGCTGCGTGTGAAAACACAGACCAGTCACTTTTAGTGTAGGAATGGTACAGTGGCAAAACTGTTGAGACAGAAAGCCCCTCTCACCTAAGGTTCCCAGTCTTTGAGAAAGGGTCGATGCACTCATCTCTGGACAGAATCCGATGAGAGAACAGTTTCTTTTCAGGATCCAGGAAGCCTACAAACATAAAATGTATGGACAAATGCATTATAACACATCGTATTACAACAACATAAATCACACGTTCAATTCAGAAGTGATGAAGCTCTTCTCCTGTCACACCATGTAAACCATATTTCTAGGAGTCAGTTGGTTTACACATTGAATATTGCTTTGCCAGTTTGAGATGGAAGATTACACACACGGTTTAAAAATACATGTAAAATCATCGGCATCGTCTGGTCCTTCCAATTCTGCGCAGTGGACGAGCTCCCATGATGCGTTGCGCCAAATACCCGTGTGTGGCTCTCATGCACGTGCACAAAGGGGATTGGGCGCGCTTTGACCAAACAGAGCTGCTGATCAGAGCAGCGATAGAGCAGAGTCAGAGCGGGAAGGAAAACAGCAGAGTTTGTGGCAGTAAAGTGTGGATTTAAATAAAACCAAAGGATTTAAGAAGAAAAAAAATCCCCACAAAATCCGATCTTTATGAAAGCTATAGGTTCTCTGTCGAGCTGTTTTAATTTACGTTGAGATCTATGGGTAGCCCACGTGAATTTAGTCTGCAGTACCACGGGCGCCCCCTGTGCTCATGGGTGGGACAGCTATAAGCTAGTAATACCCTATCCAGTTATTATTATAGATCCATGCAAAATACTGACAGGTCAGTCATTTGTTTTTTGTATTACTATCTACAAAGTCACAAGTTCACTAACAAATGGTCATTCGTTATTAAACAATGAGCGTAAGAAATAATTATGTTATGGTCTTGGAAACTCAAATGGGGACATGGTACATTAGAGGTATCGGTAGTTGTATTTCAAAGCCACGCCCTTAAACACCACGTTCTTGTCTGACAATATGGGAAAACGTAAAAAACTATAGGTCCAGAGGTACAATTTCCTAGACATTATATTATTTATACTAGAAAGACCATGGGAAAGTACAGTCATAAAACCAAGCAGGAAAGAAACAGGTATTGAGTTCCACAAATTTGAATAAGCAAAAGAGCTGTGGAAGCTGGTAAGAATGTGTCATTATCCGAAGTTTAAGAAGTCCTCCACAAACCTGCTCTTGGACTAGATGGATTGGACACCAAAGTGGATGTTAGTGTATGGATGGAGTAGTGTGTAGTCTACTTTTAACATGTTAGGGTTAGGGTCAGGGTTAGGGTTGCTAATTATATGTGTAAAGAATATGCTTTTGCCAAACAAATTGTGATTAAGTTGTATTGCTGATGTGTGAAATATGTGAAAATTCCAGCCAAGCTGTGTCAAGCTTGCAGAAGCATACCCTGTATGGCTGCTGACTCATGTCAGTATAAATGCAACCAAATGTACAGTACAAACCAAAATATTTTTTGGTTTGAAATGGTCTTCAACAGTCTTGAAGGAGTTCTCAGAGATGCTTAGCACTTGTTGGCCCTTTTGCCTTCACTCTGTGGTCCAGCTCACCCCAAAACCATCTGGATTGGGTTCAGGTCCGGTGACTGTGGAGGCCAGGTCATCTGGCCCAGCACCCACCACTCTCCTTATTGGTCAAATAGCCCTTACACAGCCTGTTTGTGAATCTACAGTCAATAGTCATGAAAAGAAAGGAAACTCATTTAATGAGAAGGTTTGTCCAAACTTTTGGTCTGTACAAACTTTTGGTCTGTACTTTTGGTCTGTTTGGACCAAAGTAATCCTCTGTTTTCCACTGTATGTGGACAATAAAACGTCAAAACAGTTAATAGTGCTAAAGCCATGCTCTTTTTGCTTTCCAACACCTCCCTAGTGACTAAGAACAGAACTTTAAAAAAAAAGTGTTAACTTTAAAAAAAAACCTGAAAACAGTATCATGGGGAACAAACAAAATAATATTTTGCTCTTCGTTTTTGTTAACAGACGGATCTTCACAACTCTTCTTTGACAACACAAAGGTAAAGTATAATTAAACTTCTTAGAAAGTATTCACACAGTTTGGATGGAGACCTGGAATACAAATTGGGCCGATGCCTTGCACAGATTCTTTAACCACTACAGAAGAAATGTCAATATTTGGACTGCTGCCCTAAAACCAGCTGACCTCCCCAATGGAGGCTAGGGCTGCAACTAACGATTATTTAGATAATCGATTAATCAGGCGATTATTTTTACGATTAATCGATTAATCGGTTTATGTACTTATATTTTAGTTTTGCCAATTTTTTTCCAAGTAAATTGTTAACAAAGGGCCTTCATCATTCAACATAGACTTTTTAGAGATTTTAACCATTTTACATATTCATATCCACATCAAAAACTTAACTGGAGCTGTTTATTATGTCTTTGTAATCCTTTAGTGAACTCAATGTTGACCATCAAAACAAAACACTGACCGTTACATACTCTAGCAAATTTCACAAGGAGATTTCCAATAATGTTTTCACCATGAAAATCCTTAGGGCTTCTGAAGTAGTTTAAAATCCCGAACAAGGCTTATTTAAGTTGATAAACTGATAAATGTTTTTTTTTTTTTACATCTTTGTGCAAATTATTTGAAAGATCAACTTTATGCCTAAAACAGTGAGTGTGGCGCCATCTTTTGCAAACAGTCAGTACTGCAGAGAGATGGTTTAAGGTGCTCACGCAGAGACGTAGTACTCCCGTGCCAGGCCAAGTCAGTAGCGCAGAGTTTACAGGTTACTCTTCTTTTTTGAAGGTTCAAAGTAAAGTGCTCCCACACTTTGGATGACTTCGTTCGATTAGGTTTGTCTTCTGCTTTTTTCCTTTTTTTTCTCGAGCTTACTCCGCTTGCCTCCGCCATCTTGCTGTATGCTGAAGAGAAGCTGTGCGCGAAGCATGTGACATAAAAGGAGGCCAGCTATTGGCTATTCGCTACTTCTCCTGCTGTAAAACCTCCGGTGGCTCATTACTGCCACCATTTGGTCACCGCAGAGTTAAAATATGCACGAAATGAGCCGCTTACGGCAAAATAAAAGTTATTTAGCAACTAATCGATGACTAAATTAGTTGACAACTATTTTAATAATCGATTTTAATCGATTAAATCGATTAGTTGTTTCAGCTCTAATGGAGGCTAAGTAGTAAAATCCAATTCAGAATGCATTAAACATTTATCACTTTCTATGGAGGCAGAGCTGTGCTGGATTAGAAGTCTCCTTCTATACAGTGTGAATAGAGTGAGGGGAAAAAAAACTACAAAAGACAGCATAAAGCTTCAACATGCCATATTGCATTTGCAAATCCTTCAACAGCAAATGTACTGGAGTCTTCATAATAATGGTGAAATGGGAGAAGTAATACCTTGTCTACCATTTTGCCATTTCTAAATGCATGAATTTTACCAGAGGTAGCAAAATACACCAGAAACAACCTCTTACGAGCAAATACTACCATCTCATGGACAGAACGATGATGTGCAAGAGGATCCAATACATATCGGAAACAAAACAATATTTCAGATGAAGCAGACCCAGAGAAATACATTTAAAGTCCAAAATAATGGCAAACTTTCTATTTTTATCGTTCATCAAGCTTTTGAAAATTAAGAATTATACCTGCAATGGTGTGTGCATAAAGCCGGCTCCCAAATGTGAAGACGTGGAGTTCATAAAGTTTGGCAATTTTCTCCAAGAACTCTTTACAGTGTGGACGTAACCGCGTGTGGAGCATAGGTTCTCCCCGTCCGAGTTGGAAGTGGAAAATACCCTGCAGAAAAGAATCTCAGTTAGCTACACAAGCATTTTATTATGGAAAGTGTAGGCTGAAAAATAGAGAGAGGATACTCAATATTAGACATGTATGTTAATCTTTTCATCAGAAGTGGTTAAAGTAATGAAAGTAGTGTTAGGTACTTGACTACCTCTACTTTGCGTCCAATAAAGTAAGGCAAGTAAGGTAAGGTGCTCTAGACAGTGGGTGAGCCAAAAGTGATTTAGTCAATTTTCAGCATATTACCATAGTTCTGCATTCCATTTTAATATCATACACAGAATGATGCATCCAGTTTAGAGGCTTTCGACTTAGGGTTAAGTTTAAGAGTCCAGGAACAGCTGAATCATTGATCCTGGATTATTAATACATTGGTCACATTAGATTGACAGTATGGGCGACAGTAGCTCAGTTGGTGGAGCACTAGTCTTTAGACCTAATGGTGAATGGGTCATTGTGAATTCGGACCTATACTATACGAGCATAAACATCAACAAATACAGGTGTTGAAGTTCGTATAATGAACTGGAGGCAATTAAATGGAATATTAAAATAGTTGTTGATTATTCAAAGTAAGTAAGTAAATAAATATAATATTAAAATAGTTGAAATTTTGACCTCCTCCACCGTGAGAGGGGGGTTTAGGAAGCCGAACCATAACTAACATTTGTATGTCCAGATATATCATTATATTTGCTAAATATATAATTATATTTGATACATTCTATTACATTATATGTCTGCTAGATCTCATTGTTAATTATGTTACTAGGGCTGAAATCAGCGATCATTTTGATTGTAAACCTAACTCGATAAACCCCAATTATAATAAGTTGTTCCATATTGAATTGGCCATAGTAAAAATGTCTGATATATTAGTACCTTATTGGACAATCTGTGGCAGTGCTGTTCTGTTGTGTGGATTAAGGTCTGGTCTAAATCCACCATCAGAACCAGCTTTTTGTTCCGATGGAGTCTTTGCTGGTCTTCTCTCCCGAGCTGCTCAGCTTGCTGTGGGAGGGAGTAAAAGGTAATTTTAACTTTCATATACTATATGGATTTAGACACACATGCTATATAAAATTGACATTTCACGGTTTCTCCAATACAGTGGAGGCACACTAGGCCAAAATCTTGTGTAAGCTCCTTAAGACACCTGACTCACCTCAGAGCTGACCATCAACTCAGGAACACTGTGCACCATGGAGACTGTTGCTGTGGAGATGGGAGCTTGCTGCTTCCCATTTGCGCTTTGCAGCCTAGATGGAAAAAGAAAATGCCAGTAAGTTATAGTATACATAAAATAAATATATAAGTCAAGAATATACATATAGAAATAAAAATAATAATAATTTGTATAAAACAATTTGAATCATTTCTTAGTATGACTATAACATCTGTTGTATATTTGAAAATAGATTATCCATCCATCCATCCATTTTCTTCCCTTTAATCCATTTCTGGGTCAGGGGGGTGGCAATCAGAGATGCCACCCAAGTCTCATAGCACCAGCCCCTCACTGACCCTCTGCAGGTGGTGAGTCCACAGGAGGACGGCTGCTCTCTGAGTGTGAGCATAGCCTTGATCTTTCAGTGGAGGCTTTGGGCAAAGTGGGGTTAAGTGTCTTGCCCAAGGACACAACGACAGCAGTCATCAGTGGGAGTCGGTGGAGAAGGTGCAGAGGTGGGAATTGAACCCACGACCTTCTGGGCTTAAGGCCAATGCTCTACCAACTGAGCTACTGTCGCCCCCAGATAGATTAGTTAAAATAGATTAATGTGACATATTCAGCAACACTGCAAGAGACAATGACAGACTTATAATAGTTATCTTTGTACGTAGACTATGCCACCAAAGATGTTTATTTTATCTGAAAGAATGCTGGATAATGCTAGAAAGGTGAACGAATGTTTTAATCACAACACTTTTTTTTTTTTAATTGTAATAGATGTTTTGTGTACGACATCTATTACATTACAATATGTAATAGAATGTTACAATTTGGTTACAATCTACTGCCATCTACTGGCATAAATGAGGACATGATCTTCCCCATGCCTCCAATAAAAAGTAAAAATACACTTAGCATGGTTAGATTTAGGGATTATTTATTGAAAGAAATGTGTCCTCTGTCTACCCATTTTTACTCACTGAGTCAAATCCTGGCCGCATTCAGCACATAATCCTTTCATTACTACGGGGTGGCTGCATCCTTCTATTTTGACAATAACACCACTGAAAACACAGAAAATATCATTGTTACCAAAAAAATACAGCACAAGACATGAGAAAAAACATTCTAATGATAAGGTGGCAAATGAGTGCTGTAACTAACCATTGAAAATATATTGGTTATTTTTTGACAGGTTGCATTCATGTGGCGTCACTACATCATATAGTTTAAAATTCTGGTGCAGGGCAGTGAAGAATAATTCCAGGTAACTAAAGGTAAGTGTCAATGATTACTAGAGCCAACTACTGTCTAATTATTGGGCCGATCTACATGAAACCATCAGCAAGTTCCACATCATCTTTGTTAGTACATATTATTTGGTCAAACTTGGTCAAATTATATCCTCGTACAAGTGGTGACAGCGTTCAAAAATCAGCAGAACGTTGACCAGTAGAAAGGACTTTTAGGTATTATTGTAATAAAGCAGGTTTGTCTATTTAATCACTATCAAACACAGATCTGGGATATCATTTGGACATTTCTTTCAAAAATGGCTTCTCTCCCATAGAGTGGTAATGGCACCTGACCCGACAGCTGAAACAGAATTGTAGAGTTAACTATCAATTGTTTAGAATGCAGAGCTATATACACTTATGACACAGATAAATCTCAAGAAAAAAGTGAAGCTACTATGAGACTTTTTTCAAAACATCTAATTTTACTTATAAAAAAAACTAAGACATTTACAAAACCCCTAATATATTTGTATGCAACTACTTATCTGTGTGTATAGTTTAAAATAACATCTATCAAGAAATGAAGGTTTGGATGTTTGAATAATAGTCGTTTACTATTATTCAAACATCCAAAACTTCATTTCTTGATAGATGTTATTTAAGCTATACACACAGATAAGTAGTTGCATACAAATATATTAGTTGTAAATAATTAGAAAAAAAAAGGACCAGTTACAATTACTCTTTACAGCCCCATGGCAATTTGTGAATTATTTTAGACGTCGACATGTGCACTTGTAATGATTATTTTAAAACATGTATACTACAACAAACATGAGATATCCTACATTAGCAAATACTTAGCTTTCAGATTGTTGTAGAAAATAGAATAAGAAAGTGTCCAACAGAATATGGATGTGTTGTGTTAAAAAATATTTCAGACTCTGATCCACGCAGCAGCACAACAACAAACCGATGGACCTGAGGCTTCAGAGTAAAACATGATGCGCTTCCTCTCATTTAGAGTGTTATATGAAATGTATTATGAAGTTATATGAAATGAATGATTAGGGGAAAAAAGAAAAGATAACTAGCTATATAATAAAAAACACAGAATTCTGAAAACAAAAACAAAAAAAACATAAAACAAAAAACAGTTTGAAGAAGTGCTAAAGGCCATCTTATTTTTTTTATTTCATTTGTACATGTTTGAAGAAAGGGGCAGGCAAAATAAAACATTTTTTTTTTCATTTGTGCGACAAGATGACAACTATTTGAAATGTAATATGTGATGTATTGTTTTGTCCACAATTGAAATAAATAAATAAATACATTTTTAAAACAATGTTAAAATGTACTCGTCTTGAATATGTCTGTACGTCTATCAATACCATGTAATAACAGCATTTTAATACACACAATCAGCCAATGTAACGTTATATCTCTGCTGAACACGGCGCTAGTTTTATTATGAAGGCAGCTATAAAAGCGAGCTTGTTGATGTTGATTGACTTGACAGCACAGTCAATTCTGATGCTAGCAAACAAGCTAACTGACGCTATCTGAGCCGTTAGCAGGCTCGTGGGTGAAGGCTGCACGACTCTGAACGTCTATGGGAGTCTGCTGTCTTTGCACGGACCGTTAACATAGCTCACAGTGTATGAGACTTACCCTGGAGGAAGCACTTGTCCCACTTGACAGCACAGCTCCTTCACTACTCCTGCACGGTCTGCTTTCACCTTCTTCTCCGGGAGCCTGACAGCCCCCGCTCCCTTCTCCGGCGGGATGGGGACAGCCAGGGCTAACACAGAGTCCACGTTGATAAGAGAGCCCGGTTTGACCTTCCACTCCAGCAGGCGCAGAGGGACAGATCCGCTCGGTAAACAGACCTGAACCACCTGCAGCTCGGGGCCCTCCGCCGCAGAATCTCCATCGCCCCCTTCCATCTCCTCCTTAGCTCCCAAACTCCCTGCACTTTAGACAGCTGTGTCCCTGCAGACGTCCTGAGGCCCGGTGTGTCAGTCAGACTGTGTCGGCATGTTTGTGGGTCAGATTTGATGTGAGAGCTCCGCCGCAGACGCCGAGCGATGTTCACTCTTCCCGCGTAAACAGGACATGCACACACTGCGTCAACGGAGCACTTCCGCTCACGTGCCATGCGACAACTACAAGAAACAAGAATCCACTGCTGAGGTTTTCTGTCCACATTTTTGTAGATGAATGAATGATAGCTATACTAATAATACGAACACTAATTATCATAATCGTTATAATAATACATAATTAATCATAATTATAATATAAAATTAATAACATAATAAACATAATAAAATAATAAAATTCAACATAATAATAATTAAGGTTGAAAGAAAAACAAATTGTGATAAATGCAAATAGAAATAATAAATTTAACAACTAAAACAAATAATGATGCATGGACAAATGCATGCAATATTGGTTGATTTTAAAATAATTAAGTATATGCAATATTTACATTCCTTAGTTAATTCAGAGTAAATATTTTTATTAGAATAATCACTCAATATTACTTAATATTACTAATATTCTTGAATTAGAGTGTATTAAAGTGTATTACAATCCATAGATAACTATCTATAGATTTATACATCTAAGTATATATTTCTTTGCACTAGAGTACACCAAGTGTATACCTTATATGTGTATGTGCTCCTCATTCCTAGTGTTCTGTAAATTTCCCCACTGTGGGACAAATAAAGGATCTCTTAATTGAAATCTTGTATTGGTTCATCTGTAATGGGACTACATTTGATTGCATTTCATCCTATTTGATTACACTTCATCGTAACAATTATTATCTTTTGTGTGTTTATCTTGTTACACATATAACAATGTGAACATTCAACTACTAGCTTTACAACATGGTAAGAACAATTGCATGAATAATGTTCGCTGCAACTGAAAACAACCCTGGTGTGTGATGTAATATACTGCAATACCCTTCCAAATTACACTCATGTGGCACTAGAAAGGATGGCAGACAACACACAGAAGGGACAATGTTGTGTTGCATCATTAATCTTTCCTCTTATTAAAAAAGAGTTTTGTACAAATCCAACAATGTCATCTGTAACTGAAGCTGATACAATCCATCCATCCATCTATGGGGTGTCTTGTCTTGGGCAAGTCAGTGTCTTGCCCAAGGACACAGCAACAGCAGACATCAGTGGGAGTTGTGTAGTAGGTCTTGTGATGGGCTGATACTATAATAATCATAATGATAATTATGATAATAATGACAATAATAAAATAATAATAATAATAATAACAACAACAACATAATAATAATAATGATAATAATAATAATAATGACACGTGGTGAGTTTGAGGTTTGATCACACTTGAAACTGTAATTATCCATTCAATTATAATACATGTGTTATGTATGTTCCAGATGTACATTCGGCTATTTCAATGTTCAAACGGGACAAATGTCATATCGAAAGAATGATTAAAAAGTGTAAACAAACGTACCCGGAAGCAGAGGGGCCGTCACTCTCTCGCTCCCCGGCGAAAGGAAGTGAAGGCGCGGTAAAGCAACAACAACAGAAGGACTCTGACCATACCGACTCTGACCACACTGACAGGCGGCCACGGCCAGACTGGAGACTGCAGCTGGAACAATTATGAAACGGGACCTTTTAAATCTGGTAAAGAACTAACATTGATGTGATTAAAAGCTACGTAACCTGGAGTAATCTGGCTGCATGGAAAAAGTATATTATTGCTTCGCGTCACCTCTGACATAGTTTTATCACAAGTCAGATTTGTGTGTACCTCTGACAAAGAAAAGCTAAAGTTAACTAGATGAAATAAATCGCATTAAGTTTTGTTTTTCAGTCTGTCTATCTCTTATTTAGGTATAGTTCTGTGTACGTGCTAATGTTGCTGGTTTGCGTTCTGTTTACTACTAAGCTACTACTCCTATTGTATGTATCTTGTCACTTTTCTGGAGACGATTCCACTTCATGCATTGCCTGGGAATCATCACTGTATTATGATAAGCTTTATTACCAATATTTTTAGAATGATAATTTTACTATGTGATTGCATGGTATTAATGTCATGAAAAATACTTTGAGCTGGGTCACCTTTCCATAGATTTGATTTGTAACTTGGGTCTGGCTGGGGCGTTACTTTGCATTTATTATAGAAAAGTGTTAATCAAAATCTTACTAGGAAACGCAACATCTAAGGGAAGAGGTGGAAGACACGCACCACAAAAGTAGAAACATAACAAACAATTCAAACCAAGTCAAATTCTACATTATTGCTTTTTGTGATTGTCTCTAGTCATTTACAACAGGTGTTTTTAAGCTTCACCCGTGCCTTGTTGATCTCGACGATGTTATTCTGCAGCGAAGTGTGTCCAGTTTGTTCTAACAGCACCCTGGTCCCTGACATGTCTATCTGAACATGATTCATTAGAAGGGGAGACACACTGTCCCTTTGGAGCAGATGGCAAACATAAACATCACTGGGCCTTTTGGCCTTGGTCCACGCTCAAAGATACAACCTTCTCACGTTAAAAATGTCCAGACTTTCCCATAAGCAATGCACTTCTTTTTTTCAGTTGCGACAGTGCCTACATCACACGCGATTGCCCCATAGATGTCCTTGTCCTGGCTCGTCCCATCAAACAACCAGGTCTTTCAGTTCACTAAGGTAACTTTCTCATTGTCTGATTATGCCAGCTTACAGATAGTGTTTTCTCACTTTTGGAACCTAGTGATCTTTTTGATGTCATCGTAACCCAACTGTTTTAATGATTAACAGCAGGCAAAGTAAAAACAGAGGATTATTATGGAAGACGGCATTGGGCCTGTCACTTGGGCTCTCAGCAACAGTGGGGGTCCATTATGCCATGTCGGGACCCAGAGACCGGAGGAAAATGAGGATCGTGGTGGAAGGTTTTGGACGATTCTGCAGGTTTGTGGGTGGATTGGTCCCTGAAGTCAACATTGGAGGAGTTATAGGAATTTTAAGAAGATTAGTCAAATTCTATAGTTTACAAATATGGCATTTCTGGAGTGCCTAGTCTCCAAATCCTGTGTGCATGAAAACAAGAGAGAATATTAAGTCAATTGAGTAAATATTTGCATCAATATCAGATCTATTTGCACATGTTTTAAGAGATCCCGACATTTGGGCATCTTAAGTCTGTAGCTGTTGCATAATTATTAGTAATGGAGTTGTTTGTTTTTCTCAGGTCAATATCAGTAGGAATGTGTCTTTCAGTGGATTATTGGTGGACCACTCACGTAGTTCTACGAGGCATGGATGAGGTAAGTGATTGTTAGCTTAAAATTGTTAACATCAAACCATTACTAGTATGAAAATTGTCTCATATTCCTGATGGTCAAAGGATTTCTGATTGTTTTTCCCAATTACTGAGATACAATAATGCTGTACTTTTATAGTGTTTAATCAAGGGAGACCGTGAAATCCTATTTTGAAAAACTGCATTTGGACAATAGTTTTTTTAGAATGTGTATTGCACTCTCAAAACTTGGTCCCAACTGAACTTAGGAACCTCACATAATGCCACAGTTTTATAATTCTGTGAAAAAAAGTGTTGCATGGGACTGAGGGGGAAAACTTGCTTACATGGTTAACTCCGGCCATTTACATGTTGGAAAAAAACATTTTGCGGTCCCGTTTTAAATAAAAATAGGCCATAGTAATAGCGCAGGCAACTCAAAGTGCTTGACAAAACAAGAAACATTAAAATTATACAAGGCATTAAAATAATTAACAGTCACAGTACATGAGTGAAGACACAATCCTTCAGTTGTATGCACAGTGACACAGAACTGTAGACAGAGTAGAAGCCTGTCTCACATTTTCAGGAACACTGTTACAGATTTTAGCTGCATATATCTGCTGCGTCCCTATGATTAGTCCTGACTGTGGAGCAAAAGGAGCAGGAGAATAAACATAAGAATGGTTTAAAATGCAATAAGCAGTGCAATGTATAGTGGCATGATGTCTAATTTATGACAATTTTTGATTCTTGTTATTAACTGGAGACTTGAGCAGGTCCCCCGACACTGGTGTGAAAATGTTGACTTATAAATGTTTTATTTGTTTCACATTATTGGAATAGAATTGAATGATGAAAGGCCTGAGTCGTTATATTGTCACAAAGGTATTACCAAATATGGTCATCTGCTCTTAATGTTACGGTCCCCCCTCTGCTAGGGCAGTCCATTGTACCAGTCCCAGATGTCGGCGTGCCACCAGAGGGCAGCAGACTGGATGGTGAACGGTGCCATAAGGAACGGAGGCATTTACATCAAACTGGGCCAAGGTCTGTGCTCGTTCAACCACCTGCTGCCCCCCGAGTACATACAAAGACTTCAGGTGCTGGAAGACAAGGCTCTGAACCGGGCCTACAGAGAGGTCAGAACGTTCCCACAGAGGAAGGACCAGACATGTGACTCAGACAGACAACACTCAGGATGTGTGTGTGTGTGTGTGTGTGTGTGTGTGTGTGTGTGTGTGTGCAGGTGGATGAGTTGTTCCAGGAAGACTTTGACAAAAACCCACTCCAGCTTTTTAAGACCTTTGATTATGAGCCCATCGCCGCTGCCAGTCTGGCCCAGGTTCACAAAGCACAGCTGTTTGACGGCACTCCAGTCGCTGTAAAGGTGAGTGTTTTGATCTGTCTTTTTTTTTCAGAATTTTACATATGAAGCTGTAGTGTATGAATCAGCTTTGTATATATCTTGTGAGCCTAGTTCGGATGAGATACGTTTTTCAGACTTCTACAATTTTACCACTCAATTTCAGTCACAATTTGGCCCAAATAGTCTTACTAAGTAGACAAAAAAATTGGAAAGAGAAAAGGTTCGCAAATCGCCACCTGCATGATAAATCCAGATCCCGTCAGACTGGACAGTATTGTGATGGGAGACCTCTGGGAACAGGTGCCTCAGTGACCAGCTCCAGATATTACATTATATACAGTATATGTTATATTAGGATCTACTATCATTATTAATGGCTGCGCTACCAGCCTTGTTGCCGGGAAGATCTTATTTTTTTACTTGTATTGCCAATCAGTATGATATAAAACTTAAAGTCGACATGATTTGATTAAAAGTTTTTACTAGGCTCACATTTTCGCAGATATGACTTGTGGATGCTGAGGAACAAAAAGATTTAGATTGACTCAAGCACAAAGCCACCTTTAAGTAAAATTAAGTGGAAACCTATTCCACTTGGCCCTTGGAACAATCTAATCTAATCTTTCTTCAAGTACTTTTCCTCTTGATTCAAGTACATTTTGTCTTGATGTGCCAATGGGTCAAGAACAGTTTTTTTTTCTAGGTAACCGTGAAAAGATTAATTGACAAAGATTAATCATTAAGTGACAATTTTACTGTCTCCTTAAAAATATATACAAATTAATGTGTTTGTCCCATTGGAAAATTATGTTTTCTAATCTAATTTAATCTAATTCAAATATTGTTTAAGATTTTGTCATTTTTTCACAGTGTTCAAAATCGTAAAACATTACCTTCCGTGGAAATAGTCCACTACTAGTTTACTGTATTTTTGTTATGAAAATAAATGCCAGAGTTTGTTATAAAATCGTGACTTCCCCGACACTAAGCAATGTTCCAGGTAGTTGAAGTTGAATTTAATGGGAATCCCTCAGTTTTGTTTCTCTCTGATCCAAAAACATAACATTTAGTTGTTTTTATGGCGCAGGTTCAGTACATTGACCTCAGGGATCGTTTTGACGGCGACATCAGAACTCTGGAAATCCTGCTGGATATAGTGGAGTTCATGCACCCCAGCTTCGGCTTCAGATGGGTGCTGAAGGTGGGCTCTTGTGCTCTGGAAACACGTCTCTTGTTGTTTTGGCGGCTCGCTCAGACCTCTATTGATCTTCCAGGACCTCAAGGGCACGCTGGCTCAGGAGCTGGACTTTGAGAATGAAGCCCGCAACTCTGAACGCTGTGCGGAGGAGCTCAAGCACTTTCAGTTTGTCGTCGTGCCTAAAGTGTTTTGGGATCAGACGAGTAAGGTGAGTGTGGGACTTATGCAAAGTGAAGGGTGGAACCCAATTTTATAACAAAGGTTACGTACAAAACCACATTTCTATGAATCCCGGATGACCTGGTGCTCTGTCACTCAATGCTATGCATCCCCTTCTGGCGGTCACGAGGGATGAAATAGAACATTATTATTGCATTATTTTCATCATACCATTGCAGTATTTCTCAGGGTTTCTTCTGTTTGCTGATCTCAAATAAAGCAAAGGTCAACATAAGAATAAAACTATATCTGTGTATGAAACATTTATATTGAAGAAGATATACGAGTTGTTTTTGTTATTTTCAAATAATAAAAATGTTGTTCCATGCCATAGCCCCAAACCAGATCATTAACAAATTCATTCTAAAAATTCCAATAAGGAATCACATTATTTATCACATAATTTATCAAGTTAGATTTCAAGGAGACTTAACTAGTTGGCTTTAAGTAAATTAAAATGTATGTATGTATTTATAGCTGGGGCTCCTTATTTTTAAACCACACAATTGGAACTATGTCAAAAAGTCAAGTCAAACTACTTTAGTTTTGAGCTCTCAAAACAGTTTGGTTCGGCCTCTGAAATGTCCCTAGATCAGCTCTTTCTGACAGAAAAAGGGAAAAGGAGAGGACCACCCTCACTCAGCCAATCAGCTCTCAGCCCAAAACAAATAGTGGGGCTCTGTCTTACAAATATGCAAAATATATAGAAATTGTATATAAGACTACAAAAAAAGAGTTGCGTGCCCCAGCCTAAACATTGATATGAATTGCTTGAAAAATGGGGATCTTAAAAGTACATTACTTTGAGCTATATTTACACTTGTGTCTGTTTTTCTTCTGAAGAGGGTTCTCACTGCAGAGTTCTGTGAAGGCTGCAAAATCAACAACGTGGAGGAAATCAAAAGACAAGGATTGAGTTTAATGGATGTAAGTGCAGAAGTTGACATCAGTGGAAGTATTTGACTGTTTCTGTATTTGACTGTGTTTTTGCGTTCAGACGGCAGACAAGCTGATCCGGACGTTTGCCGAACAAATTTTCTACACCGGTTTCATCCACGCCGACCCTCACCCTGGAAACGGTCGGTGTTTGTGATTTGTTTGTTTGTTCTAATTCACCATTCATCCGCTCTGACAGTTTTTGATTATAGTTCTCGTCAGGAAGGGAGTTGATAACAAAACAGAGCTGGTGTTGCTGGATCATGGCTTGTATGAATTTTTAAGTCAGAGGTAAAATAGTGTCATGTATTTCTGTGTTTGAAATAATGAGCAAGTATAACAGTGTGTGTGCGTGTGTGTGTGCGTTTGTGTGTGTGACTAGTGACAGAGAGGCACTTTGTAAACTGTGGAGGGCCATCGTTCTGAGGGACGAGGGGGCTATGCAGAAGTACTCCAATGATCTCGGGGTAAAAGGTAAGCTATTATTTATATCTATAATTTACTGTTTTGCTCTGTTTTAGGCATGGTGCCAGCTTGCAAAAATCCTCTCATAAAAGTGAATTTCAGTTAATGTTTTCAGTACATTTTGACATATGGATGAGCCATTTTTCTAAAACTCTAAATTCCAACAGCAGTCGTCAGTGAGAACTTTACAAAGTTTCACCATCAACCTATCAGAGAATCAAATAATTTGAACACAGGAAATGCAATAATAATAAACACATAAAAGCCATTGGTCCAGAGATTGCTAACATTACCTTTACTAGAAAGATTAGGTTAGTCAATTTATGTTGACTTTATTCAGATGCATAAAAAACCCAAATCTCTTTCTCCTTAGTGCTTGAACTGTGTCCGTGCATTGAGGGACATCTTTACATACAAGCTTTTTTGCCTTGTGTCTATACGTTTTCATACAGGTGTGTGAGAATTATCAGGGGAAGAAATATCAGGGATAATTATACCATCCCCTGGTGATGGCATCATTTACAATCAGGAAGTACACTCGTGAAAAAAATGGATGAAATTTGGAAAATCTTTTTGCAAATTCTTTAGTATAACCATAAGACTGTTTTGTGAAAAGCCTGAACACGGACTAGAATTCCTCTCAGTTGATAATCCATGGCCCTTTACTCCATATTCAGTTGATTGTGTTCATGTGACATCACAACATTCCAAGCCTAAAGAGCCCATTTAAGAATGTAGTTGAGGGCAGCTTCAAGGTCTTTCCTGGTAACTGTCATTTCAATTCAACTCAACTTTATTACAGACTCTAAGCCAAATCTAAACACAAGGCCATGATTAACAAACAGTATGACTTTAACAGTTGTGATATCCTCAGGTCCAAATGACCTGCCACAGATGATTAAAAGTATAAGATACCATAAATTAGGATCTAAAAGCGTCTTAATGATCCAGGGCTGGTCAAGTTAGGAAAAATAATCAAAATTCAGCTTGACATTTTTTATTTAGGCAATTTTTTAATCACTGTGGGACATTTTGACCCAAGGGTAGCACAAGGGTTATAAGACAGATTTTCTAGTCTTAGTTTTTGGGTTAGGGTTACATTTATATTTTATCAATCTGCATAGCGGACGTGGTGATGTCATGTGCCTGCGTGCCCTAAAATAATATTGTGAGCATGCACAATAAAACACAGTGCCGTGAGTTTGTGCACCAAAGTAAAGATGGCGGTCTGTTTCTCCCGTGAATAGAAAGTGCTAACTAACTACATTGTTGATTGGTATAGCGTTAGACTGCTGCAGAAATGACAAACGCTACAGTGTCTCTATAATCCCTGCGCCAATCCATAAAAAGTTCCACATCTTGTTAGGTCACTGTGGTCAAAATATTGTATGTGTCTAGAAATGGTGACAATATTCAAAAACATACCCCTGTTGTTGGCCATGAGAAAGGACAAGTTTGTGAATGTTATCACTATCAAATAATTATCTGGGAAAACACATTCATTTTTATCTTTTTCATCATTCCTTGTATTTCCCAAGCTGTTCTCCAACTGAAATGCAGTACTACAACATGAACATAACATATTCATCTCTTGGTCTCATGCACCTTTTCGTCACCACAGAATACTTCCTGTTCTGTGAGATGCTGCTGCAGAGGCCCATCGACATGCACAAACTGGGCCTGTCCAACATCCTGAGCCGAGAGGAGACGGCCTACATGCAGCAGATGGCCTTACAGCGCTTCGAGAACATCATGCAGATCCTCAAGTCCATGCCCCGGCCCATGCTCCTGGTGTTCCGGAACATCAACACCGTCCGCAGCATCAACATCCGCCTGGGAGCTCCCGTCGACCGCTACTGCGTCATGGCCAGGAGGTGCGTGGGGTTTGGAGAAACAGGCCAAGAATAAGCAGTCTCAAGAGTGGAGCAGATTCATTCCATGTTTCACCAGAATCTTTCACTACCGACTAAAGGCCACTATTTGGAGATAAAATACTTAACTTTTAACTTTGGGACATTCTTGGGGTGCTCTTGTGACCCTATGTAGATGCTTAGTCCCTTTTAGATATTTTGTCATTTGCATCTGTAAATAAAATAAAGCTGGGGTATCAGTCATTAAATACACTCTCGTTCTGACAATAGTTTTCACATAAAGTACATGTATTTTTGGCTCGAAACATCTTTAGATCAGCTTTTTCAGAAAGAAAAGTGAAAAAGAGGACCACCCTCATTCAGCCCAATGCATTAAATACTGACTCCCAGGGTCTTTTTTCTAGCCTAGTATTTAGTAAAAATATATCTAATAAGACGAAGACGGCGTGTTGTGGTCTGATTCGTTTCCAATTTTACCGTTACAAGATTCTGTTAGGACAAACAGTACAGTATGTATTATTTATTAAGGTTAGGTACCTCAGCTTTAAAGTTAAACTTGGAGCATGTTATATTGCATTTTATCGAGCTTTTTCTCTGCAGTGCTGTGCGGGGCTGGGGTAAGATCCAGGCCCAGAAGACTGGTTTACTGCCCCAGTTCTGGCTCTTCAGTTGGGCTCGGACAAAATGGGAGAGTTTGAAGTTTGAAGTAGCTTTGAGGTGAGCTGTCCATTTACTATAAGCAACATGATTTTATGAATGATCGTCCTGACTTGTTTGAAACTCCAACAGGTCGGAAATGGCCATGATGAGTTTGACGCGCTCGTTTATCAGTGTGCTGTCGTACTTTGGTCTCATATCTCTGGATGCAGAAATGTACGATTACCTGAGGTAGTGCAAGGCTGATCAAACATGGACTCATTTCAAGCACAACTCCAACCCACATGTGATGGTGCTACTTATGGAATCCTGGAACCCACACCACGGTCTGTGTGAGCCAGGACCCACCAGGACTGAAGGAACTAACCACACTCACTTATTGAGTCGTGATCTGAATTATGTGTAAGAATTGTAACTTTACTAATATTAAAACGCCAATTACTAACATGTTATTTTGACCGGCACATTTCAAAAGAAAACATGTGAGAGACTTTCAAAAGGAACAGACAATGAACCGCATACATTTCCACAAGACACTTGTGAAAGCTTCCCAGCAGTACTTTTATAACAGTGTTGTTTAAATTATTTTTAACCTTTAATAAAAGTCTACCTCTTTGAAGTAAGCAGCGTTGAATTATTCAACTGAATAAAAACAAACTTGGTGATTCATTTGACTGACGTTTTTATACAAAATACAAAAACATGATGTTTCTTTTAGTCTACACATGTAGGAAACTACCATTCACAAAATGTCATAACAAAAATCTATGTATTATAAAAGTCACAGGAATGTGATACTCAGAAATGAGCAGTAACTCTGTCGATGTCCAAGAGGTCGTCCAGAATCTGAGGGGAAAAAAGTTTCTCATCATCACTTTGAAATTGTAGAACAATATTTGATCATGTGTTCTTGTGACAAATAAGGAGCATATATATTCTTGTTTCTAATGATTGAACTGGAGCTTTCAATGAATCATGTTTGTTCAGACTAAATGAAGGCACAATCCCTTCTCCACGTCTTAACCTATATAAGTTCTTACGTGTTTATTAATTCATGTGAAGAGAGAGTTAACTCACTATATCCTGAGTGGTACCAATCTTTTTGGCTAACTCGCTGCGCTCCATGGTGCTGAGATACAGGTACTTGGCCAGGAGTTCTCCGTCCAGAATGTTGCGTGCCGAGTTCTGCAGGCCTCGCCGGTCAAAGTGCATCATCCTAAACAAACAAAGCACACGAGGATGATGACCGGCCCTGAGCTGAGCCAGAGTGTGTGTGGGAGCAGGGAGCCGACCTGAAGGCCTTGGGGTTGAGGCCGGCGTGATGAGGCAGCATGGAGTTGAGGGCATTCTGCAACATGAGCAGTCTGCGATACGTCTTCTCCTGCATGGGCAGCAGCAGACCCACACCCCCGTCCAGAGTGGCTGAGACAAGAACATAAACAAGAACTATAGGAGGGAGCGCTTGGACCTTTCATCTTGATTAAAAAAAACATTCAGTTTATAGAACAGTTAATCCAGTTTTTTTTTTATTTCAGCCATAAAAGAACATGGAAGTTTTTATGGTAAGTTTGGAAGAATACTATGTATTGCAACGTAGCAGGAGTTCCCAAACTGTTTCAATCAACGGGGCAAAGAGAATACAACGGGGCAAAGAGAATACTGATGCAATACTACCTGGTGTGTATTGCATAATTAGTTTTAATTTTTTTTCCATTTAAATCTATTATTTATTATTTATTTGATTTGTAAGACTAATGATTTATCTCATTTGTCAAACAGGCTAACCTGCAAGACAAATTCTCAAGATATTTGTGAATTCACTATGGGTAGAACTTTAGTCTGAGTGACACACATAAGCCAGGTTATATTCGGCTATATACTATACTGGTCAAAATATACACATATTAAATATGATAAAACTAGAGGCTCCTTGCAGATGTAACCTCCTCTTTGCAGGCCACATTAGACCCTCTGTAAAGCTGACTTTTGTAACGTTACAAGAAATATAATGATGAATGAATGGTGCTTTTGACCCTTTAATGGTTACCACTAAATCTACTTGAAGCTTGGAACTGAAATCTACCTCATTTGGCCATCTCTATCACTTGGTTATAGACAGTTTTGCCATCAAACAGCATCTCAAACATCTGATAAAGGCCTATCATTCAGGGGTCCAGAAAAACAAATGAGTTGTGTTAATAGTGCTCCTAAATCTTCAAGAAAAGAAACATTTACATTGCTTTCTTCGAGGAGTGAACGATAAAGGGTTAAGACAAGATACAGGTTTTGCCAAATGAGTGAGTGCAGCCTGAGGGTTCCACTCACCAAACCATGTGATATGCTTGTTGTCCCAGGTGAGTGCTTTCCTGCTGGCTGCATCCATGGCTCCTTTACAGGGCATCCTCCAGAAAGCGTTAACCTGAGCTCCCACGTTGAAGTCTGCGCGCTTTATGAGCCGCATCCCACCGAAGCTCTCCTTGGCTGCATCCAGAAGTCGCACATAAGATTAAAGTTATTTGTGAAATGAAGGTGGCAAAAGCGGGTTCAGTGTGGCTCACCTTCAGGTAAATACATGTACACAAACAGGTTCTTGTCCTGGTCTGAAACTGCAAAGGAAAAAGATGTTAACAGTGGGTATAGAAGTGCAGACAACAGTTTAAAAACAACAGTATTCAATTATTACCTAAAAATCCAAGCTGGTTGTTGTCCACCATAAATTCCACACCATAAACCTCGAGTGGTTTGGCATCCTGTTACAAGAAAAACAAAATAATTTTAAGATTATACTTTGTTTGTCAGATTGAAAATGCAAGTCCGAACAACATCACAGACAGACATGCAGGATATTTAACAAAAGACTCGACTTCACTCGCATCTGTCAAACTCATTCCGAGACACATCCTGAGTCTACAAAGTGTTTGTAGAAGCCAGCACAGGGTTAAAAACCTCAAAGCGACTCACTCTAGTATGTTTCAGGATAAATTAATTGCCCCCTCACCCGGCTGACGAGCGACAGCGTCTTGCTCTCCACCTGGTAGCGGAGCAGAGAGATGCTCTTCATCAGATCTGCGGCCAGAATGAAGTTCTTGATACTGTGCATCTGGTGGATGTAGAGCTGCGTGTCGATGAAGGCCATGCCCGTCAGGTCGTTGTCCTTCAGAACCCAGAGGAAGATCTGCGGGACAAGAACACATCGTTACATTTGTCTTTCTTCGCAGACGTTTGTGTGTTTGCGTCTCAGACCTTCTGTCCGATGGCGGAGACCAGGTACCCGTTACAGTGGCACATTGCGGTCACCGGGCCCTTCTGCTCCTTCTCGTACAGCACTTTGAACTTGTTTTTGGTGAGAGGCTGGCCAGGCTCCGGGACCACCTCGATCACATCAAGGATCAAGATCTGGACATGGAAGAAAAACATAGTCAGAGCAGAGGGAGCAGCAAGCACTAGAAAGTCTGAAAATGTGAACTTTTTACTGTAAAAAAGTCAACAATCTGATCTCTTTCCTTTAATGAGTTTGTCAAAAGTAATTGGTGGTTTGAAATTTTTTGAGTTTAGTGTGTAATTATTTGTTGTAATTTGTATTTATTTACTGCAAAGCAGCGTCTGGGGGGAATCAAGACAATATTTTAAGTTTTTTTTTTTAAATCTAACTAATCAATGTCTTTTATACAATGGGGGGGAATTTAAATAGTAATAGATGACCACTGTTAAAAGTGGTTTTCCAAGTCTTAGTCTTAGTTTTTACCCAAACCCTAACATTATACAAAATGTACTTTACACGTAAAATAAAAGTAATCCCATTGTTTGGATATTAGTATCTGGTAGATGACATAACATGTAAGTTAATCATAAGTGAAAATCCTGTCAGGGGCTGCCAGTGCATTAGTAGTTTCTGGTTGGTGCTCTCACCCGGCCTCTGCACGTGACCTCCTCTCCCTGCATCAGACAGGTCCCGGCTGCGATGTAGCCCTTCAGCCCCGACACAGTCTCCTCGCTCCTCAGCGCCACTGTCTTCATGCAGGTCACATGCTCCCACTCCTCCAGATCAATCCTGACAGAGAAATAACAGTGAGCTCTGCACTGCAGGGGCTCATTTAGAGCCACTAAATGAGAATAAGTGTGACGAATGGCCCTTATGCAATAAAAAATCCCCAAAGGAGCCGTTTGAGACACACCGTCGATGTTTCAATTAATGCACTGCATTCAAACACAGCCAGGAGGAGCATTCAAACTGAAGTCATTGAAACAACTGGGCTTATGTTACAGTTTACAGAAAACTAAATATAATGTAGATAGTGCATATTTATTGCTTATTGAAATAAAGTTTGATGAGTGTGGTTGTAACCTTTTTACTTTGTCACTCCACCAGCGATAATAAATAGAACACTAACTAGAAATCTATCAAAAGATCCAGAAATGACAAAGCAGTGGACCTCAAGAAGCTCTACAAAGGGATCCAGCTAAATTCTTTATCATGGCTAATGTGTGTGTGTACATGGTATGTGTGTTAAGATTAAAAGAATTGTAAAAAAGAGGGCTGAAGGCTGTGAAAAGTTTGTTCATGTTATCTCCTTCTAAAAGAGGTTAGCTCAGAAAAACTTCTTTACATTAAAACATTTCATGTTGTTGTGGTCAGTACCTGGTATTGGGAATGGTCTCCCAGCTGACAGGGGAAATGAGCTGGATGGAAAACCTCTCCTGCAGAGGATTGATGTAGCGTTCGTCTGAAGTACAACAAATGAGATTTACAGCAGAGTGAATCTGGTCAGTTACACTGGCCACTGAGAAACTGAATACACTTTTTCTCTATTTCACAACTTTGAAGAAACTTCTTTTACACGGCTTACTGACCTCTAGTTATGGTCTCAAACTCTTTTTCCTCTCCGGTCATTCTTGGGATGCGCGTGCAAAGCTCCTTCACACTGGTGCATATTGCATACACCTGAGAGTAAAGCAGAAACATCACTGTAAAACTCACTTCAAAGAATAACCCCATCAAAGTCACCAATATTGATTTTTTCCCCCTTTGCACAGAAAGAGAACTTCAGGGCCACACAGCTTTCATGTCAAACTCTTCAAGCAGTACGTGTTTGGGTCTACTAAAAGCGTTCCACTTGAAATTTACCTTGGACTCTACGTGGTAGGACACATAGTGGACAGTGCACCTCAGGGGGATTTTCCTCACAGGCCACGGAGCATCGTAAGACAAATATGTAGGCAGCACACTGATCCTGAGCTCCCCCTGCAAAACAGTCCACAACGTCACCAATGTGCATGTTTGTTTCAGACACGGGCCTATAATTAAACAGACAGATCTGCCTTTACATTTAGAACAGTCTTTCAGATAAGCCAGTAGGAAGAAAGGGTTGTGTTATGGATGCATCACAACATCCTAGAACCTAGTGAGTTTAGAGTTATGATTTCCATTGGTCTATTGTTTTCTAATCACCAATGTCAAATTGTCTAGATTTTCAATGTAGAAATATTTTTCGTATTTTGGTTATTGGTTTGAATTGGCAGCAACTGTTAATCTATACATCTTGGATTTACTGTTGACAGAATTTTACAATATTTAAAAACATAATTATTTTGGATATAATTGACTAATAGATACCTGTTTGTTGAAATAAAGGAAGCCTTTGGGGCAGTTTATGTTATGGAATGGCGAGAAGGACTCTATAGCACCATCTATTGTCATGGGATGTAACCTCAAGGCTCCGCGTGAGGTAACCAGCATCCAGTGAGGAGAGGGACCACAGATAAAGACCTACAAAATGAAACGTTTACTTTCACAGTAAATGACAAGAACAAAACATTAACAAGTTATCCGTACTTACCCCTGAGTATCCTGAGATGTCCTCAAAATACCTGAAGCGGCTGATTCGACTTTTGGGAGCAGAGCCATCTTCTAATGCCCCCAGCTCTGTCTTTTTGTCTCTTCTTTGCTTTGATTTCTTCTCTCTGAAGTTGATGCTGTGCGGCACCTGTGTGGAGGGATATCAGTCTCACTGAAGGTGATCGAGCCCGAAAATCTGAGCAGCATGAGGCCAAGATCTCACCTTTTTGAAGCGCACTTTGAGGTTGTTTTGAGGCTGCTGCTGGTCGTATGGGAAGGCTTCGTAGATCAGAAGCTCATGCTCCACATGGACCTGGACCAGACCAAAAAGGGAATTATTACGTAACATCAAAATCAGCATCAATAGCTTCAAATGGCAGATCCTCACCAGGAGGTATGGCCGTGTGCGATTGTATCCAAGAGAAACCAGGGAGACTTCTCGAACCAATGGCAAGTCTCCTTGGCGAGTCACTTCTTCTTTCTTGCCCTCCCCCTGGGCTGCTGATTGTCCAGAGGAACTGTCGACCAAAACCCTTTGTCCCACGGGGAAGTTTTTCACCAAGAACACCAATCTCCATTCCGGAAGTTGATACATCTGTACAAATCCAGCTTTTAAATATGCATATCATCATGATCATTCAATATGGAGATTTTAAATAACCCACCTCCATGACTCCATTCTCTCTGATGATCATGCACCAGTGGGTGGGCTCCACTTTGGCTCCGCCCTCCCCACTCCCAGAAGCCCCATGGGCTCCTGACGTTTGGCCCCAGTCCTCTTTGGCAGAAGTGTCGTTGATACTCGTATCTCCATACAGCATTTCCTCCTCATCATCCACGGTGTTACTGTTGGAAATACATTTCCCACAGTATTAGAGCCTATGCTTTGTACACAGCAGGTTTATGTCGAAGTTCACACTGTACCTCATGTCATGGATGAATGTTTCAGTCTCAGACTGACTCCTGAAGAGGTTTTCATCTTTGACAGAGCAGCTCACTTTGGTCTCAGTGGTGAACATTCCACTCACATCCCGGTACGCACAAAGCGCTATCACTCGCGGTTGCTGAAGATTTTTACAAAAACACTTAGTGTTTTGTTTGCTTTTATACAGATTATGCAAACATATCACACACAACAACAAAGATTATGTAGTGCATGCTTAGCGTGATGAAAGTGTTTGATCTGCTTACAGATTGAATAGGGGGCTTCTGAAGAGATAACCGGTGAGTTTTTCCCATGTACGAGTCAGTCCTGAGCACAAACATGGTGACCACTCCTTCTGCAGTCATGATCACCACATAGGGATCCGCCACAGAGCAGTGCACTATGGGAGAGCCCAAGTCCACAGGGACAAAGTGCAGCTGAGACACTGAAAATAGATGGATCAGGATCAGGCATTATTTTAAACACAAAAAAACATATATAATCATAACAACTTCTTGTTGCTTTACCTCCTTCCAGCAGCCTGATGCCCATCGGCGAGACTTGGATGATGTATTTGTTTTTGCCAATGTTTCCAGCAAATACAGTCGGTCCCTGAGTAGCAAAACCGCTGGTGTCCAACTCCATAATCTCCTGACCGGTTTGTAGAATCTGGGATCAGGAACAAAATTAATCAATTCAATCAATGTAACACAATTTTACATCTTTTGCATTTCATTTTCAAGTGTTTGACGCATTTAACATTCTGGGCAAATACATCCAAGCTTTAAGGACCATCAGCAATGAAGCTTGAACAAATTACACGGCTGTACCGAATACTAAGGTGTATTGTAAAATGTTTGCTCAAGGACATTTCAGATGAAGTCGATTCAAATTCAAAACCATTGCTTGGAAAATACAAATGCTTGAGCGCGCACCATGGTGGAATCCTCTCTGCTGAGGATGAGAAAGCCATGCTTCTTCAAATCGTCCTCAAGGGGGGGCTCAGAACTCTCCTCACTCTCTTTTTTCCCCTCTTTCTCCTTCTCCTCTTTTTCACTCTTCTCTCCTTCTTCTGTCTCCTCGTTGGTTTCGGCCTCTGCACTCTCCTCTGCATCTTCAGGCTTTGCAGGCTGTGAGCAAACCCAGAAAAAGGCTTGGTGAATGGAAAACAAGAACCATGTACTTGTTTTTTGTAATACATACTTTCTTCTCTTCACTTGCAATGACGGTCCACATGTCGTGACAGCCGGGCAACTCAAATGTGGTGACTACTTGCGGGCGAATGCTTCTCTGAAAAAGTCATGTAAAAAGTCCAGTATAGAACAAAGGCACAGCACTACAACAAGCACACAACATATTTGTCCCACTCCTGTATCTGAGTTGTTTACAGGCTGCTTCGTGGGCCTCTGAGGCAGTCCTGGTAAACCCAGATGTTTCTCTGTTGCATCTGTCGCTTCACCTGATGGCAGACGACCCTCACGACCACAGGTTTTTGGACAGTGCGTTTTGAAATCTTACGGTTTGTTTGGGGAGCAATGGAAAAAGGCTTACCTGGAGGACAGACAATGCACCGTTTTTACCATATCCAGAGCAGACAACCACTTCCAGGTCGGGCTCAGGGTTGTCTTGAAACTGTGGGGGAAGGCAGAAGAGAAAGTTAAAGAGAAGAGAAGACAGTATGTATAACAATGTTTAATCATTGTGTTGTCTTGTCCCCCTTCACAAAATAATGGAAGCCAAAAAAATTGAAGTAATGTGCAATAAGACAATATCTGTAGTTGCATCACATAGACCAGGGTCAAACTCCTTTTGGTCGAGAGCCAAATTCACACAAAAAAAAAAATACTTTTTTTTTTATTCTCTATTTGCATTACTTTTATTTACAATGAGTTTAAATATTATGTTCCTTTTGAACCAAAGAAAATCAGTTAATTTTTTTTTACAAAAAGCTTGTAATAGTAGAACAATCTTTCTGTTCATTCAGAAAATTGTCTGAAGGTACAGAGGTCCCTTTTTTGTGGCGGGAGTTATATTCTGATAATAATATTCCGCAAAGTAGTAACTACATGTTTTAAAGCAGCGAGCGGAAAACTGTGATACAGCGAGGGACCATTATACAACAATGCTGTAGGTTAATCAAAATGTATACAAATATTCCAGGAGTCACTTAAGCTGTGCCATAGGCTGTTAAAGAGAACAGGCAAGTTTTTGGGATTAAATTAGTTATTTGTCATTACACATTCAAAACAAATGACATTACAGAGATCAGATGGATTTGTGATTTAGCATATTTTTTTGTTTATAAATTGATTTTCTGTGTGATGATTACATAGATCTCAGGAAGAATAGCTACTGTATGTTTCAGTAGACAATGGGGATCTAAACAAAAACAAAAACAAACAAACCTCTTCAGACAAAAAGGCAGGTTCTCCCATAGAAGCATTCCCACAGGGTCCAATGTTCAGTATACTGTCACACACCTGGAGATAGGACAACATTAAAAACATTGTTTTCCCATAATTTTATGGTATTTTATAAAAGTTGAGAATTTAACCTCAAAAGAGTAGGTCGCCAACTGTGTCCCAGACTGGGCTTCACTACCGTACACTTCTATTTCATCCACTTCATCTAAAAACAAAAACTCTAATTGTTTTTTTTTTTTCTCATATTAAAAGATCATTAAGCACAAACTTACCAGTCCAGTTTGCTGAGGATTCCACGCGCTTCTTCTTATTTGGAGGTTCCTCCTGTAAATAGGAAATGTTATCACCATTATTTAATTTTTAAATGTTTTAATGTTCTCCATTTGATTGAGGACGCACTTGTTTATCTTTTTCCTTCTCTTCTTCCTCATCTTGTGTCTCTTTTGCTTCTTCTAATCTAGTTTCTTGGAGTTTCTCTGTGTATTTCAAAAGCAGCGAGTTCCCAAGACGAGACCCCAGGAAGAGATATCCTGGTTCCATAGTCACCATCTTGTGAAGAAAGACAGCAAATAAAAATAAATATACCAACAAATAATGAGTTAAAATATAACAGCTTTGGTAGCAGGGCTTACACATGTTGTGAGGACACTGGCAGCGGCTTTGTCAAAATTAAACGCCCGCACACTCCGCATTCCATCCGTTATCAGGGTCAACACATAGCTGAAAGAGAAATAAAGAAATATTAATAATAACTATGAAATATGTTGTCAGGTAACTGTAATAATGTCTTTCTTACATTTCTCCTCCTTTTAGAGATATCACCATTTTGTCATAAGCGATAAAGTCAGCCTGGGAGCAGTCCAGTGTGATCTTTACTTCATCTTGAACGCCTGAACAACACACAAAATGTTATTACTGTGAAAGTAAATGAAACATAAAGACAAGTATTGGTATTGTGTATTTGGGGCAAACCAGACTTACGCAGAGGGAAGGCGGTTGTGCCGTTCGTCTGAGAGTTCAAAGAAACGCCATACGGAGGAACGCTTTGATTCAAATACAGCAAGGAATTGACAGCAAAGACCACCACCCCACCTAATACACAAAGCCAACTGGTATTATTTGTCGTTTTCAGCTGCTGTTTGATGAAGTATCATCAAAAGACTATGTTTTTTCCCATAGAGATTGTATATTGAATCTCACCAATAGGTTTAGGAACAGCCATGACCTGAGTGCAGTCAAAAGGCAGGTTGCTTAGGGACCAGATGACGGGATGAACCTTCTGCATGATGTTGAGAGAGATAGCAACGATGCTGCACGTGTCCTGACGTACAGCTACACGCCTGTGAAAACAACATTATCATTATAAACATTAGAATACATATTGAGGAGTTTAAAAGTTCAAACAACAGATACAAAACTGACCCTGGCCATGTTTGATTGGGCTCATACAGAATCAATAATGTGGGCTCATAATATCCATGAAGGAATTTCATGTCGATGATGTTCAGCAGCTTTTCATCCAACTCGCGAATGTCAATAATGTAACTGGGTAGAAAACTGGATTTGGGTCTGGACACACAAAAAAAACAAGAGTTAAACATGTAAAAACATTTAATTCAAAATGATGTAGTACTATCAAATTGCACAATAACAGAAAAGCATGCATATAAATCAGCCAGGCTTTTGCCCAGCATAACACCTTTACTACCAGAATTGCCAGACTAGAAGTTCTGTGGCCTATATAGTGATGCAGTCAATGTATTTAATTGTATTGTGGTAGAGTATCTCATGGGGTGCAGGAACGGATCTGGACACAGCTCAGATCAGATGTTTATGTGAACAGCAAAAAGCCGATACAAGAAGATCCACTAGATACAAGTGACTTTTTTATGTGATCAGGGTTGAACTTATTACTTTGACTCCATCCAGGTTTAGTAGCCATAGAACACACGTGTATTGTCAAAACAGACTGGTAAGTGAGTCTTAACATAGAAGCTCATTTTTTACTTTCCTTTTAAGTTCCCCTAGTGTGCTTTATATACACAGGTGCAATTAATAGTGCAGCAAGTACTGTAATTTGATTATAAGCTACAAAAACTGAACATTTATCTTAATAGCTTAATTCAATTATTTCCTTTAAATGCAATAAGTAGATACAATGTCATGAGGTCATCCTAAATGTATATAGTTCAGTGGCAAACATACCCTTCCCCGACACCGTTCTCCTGCTCATCCGTGAGCGTGTCCTTTCTGAATGGCAACACCACAAGCCTTGTGCCATATATTAGAGAAACAGCACAGCGGTTCTCTGGGTCCACACGAACTACAGGTATGTGTACATTTTGAACAAAACCATCCTGAGCGAAAACGTATGTCATTATTTGCCAAGGGACACATTACAACATTACCACTTTTTCAATATGGACTCACCCGAAGTTCTGGCTCTTCAAAATAATGAAGAGATAATGTCTTCAAGTCATGTGTCCCAGGATCATACTCTACTACTGACAACTGATGACAAACACAATAAGTGGAAATAAAATGGTGCTAACTTAGTGCTATTAAAGTATTAAAACAGTTGAATATTACCTTTGCATCTTTAAAGCTTAGCAGAAGTGCATCCCTGTTGGATCCGACTAGCTGCACACTTTCCATTGACATAATATTACCAAAAAGTGAGAAAGCAGCCACCTGCTCCAGCTTTTCTTTCCGAGGTCTGCTGTCTGCCATTGAGAAATCAAATTTAACTCAATGACATAACAACAAAGACAGTAAAATAATAGTTTTATATCGCATACCTGAAGGTTTGTCTGATCTTGATGTACTCTAAAGGAACAGAAGACAATCATGAAAACAGAATCCAATAGCCACATAAATCGCCAGCTGTGTAGAAATATATTACCTCAACATCATGGATTATTTTGTAGACAAAGAGTTGGGATGTTCCTGCAACCACTAGATTCTTTTCTGTACTGGAGATGAAGTTACAGTAGACTGAGAACTCCACTGCAGTGGGAGTGTGCGCTTGTCTGTACACAGCATACATGTTGTAGGACTCTCCTCAGAACCTGGTAAAAGAAATAGGACTTATGTTTACGACTGTTTTATGAAATCCAGTGTTCAATGAACTGCAACACATTTACCAGCGAGATAAATACAAATATAGAGAAGTATATAGCTACTGAATACTCGGAAGCTAGAGGGGGCTAAATATGAGGAAAAAGGAATATGTGAAAAAGATATATAGCTTTAATATGCATCCTTATTAACAAAACAGTGACAAAAAGTGCACTAAGGCATCACATTAACACCTAGCAAGAACAATCAGAAAACATTAACATATGTGATGCCTGCGCGAAAATGGGAACGATTCACATTCTCAATATCATACTCTGACATTCTTTAATACAAAAAGGACATTACGGCACCTCAGGTACTGAAACTATCGGGTATGTTCAGTGAGTCTGGGGCTAGCCCTCCTCACGTTAGGCATGGCACCGAACCATCGTCAGAAAAGTCTTTTTTATTAAAATATTGAATGAAACCTATCCACATACCTATGCCAAACACGAAAACAACCTCGGAGCTTTATTGACAATACTTATGTTGATTTTTCAACAGCATGTTGGTAATTGTTTGAAATGTTTCTAACTGAGTGAGCTAGCTGTTAGCTGTTAGCCGTTAGCTGCTAGCTTCTGTGGGTCCTCGGCTTCTTTTGGGTTTGTTTTGACGCAGATGCCGAGTGCGACATGACTGCCCCCTGGTGGATTAAGAAAACACACTCATCATCATGGATTCTTTAATGGCGTATCAAATTATAGTACATTTCAAGTTTCATGTCTAATGACCAGTATTAAAATCTCAATAGAAACTAATATATAATAATTATACATTTATGCATAGAAAATAATTCAGTACCATTTGATATTTTTGGTAACACATAGGTTATATATTCTAATTTTCAAAGCCAGTAAGATTATAATGTTAAATATGATTAAGCAGCTCATTTGCATGTTTTTTTGTAGGCTTGGTCTGATTTCCACCCGTTGTCCCACAGTCACACTCACAGTCATTCACCCTAAACAATTGTATGTTTTCAGTGGTGGGAGACATGCCCAATCTGGAGGTGGAATCAAACCCAGTATCTTCTTGCTGTGAAGCACAAGTGATAACCACTGTGCCACCGTGCAAACCTTTACATACACATCTACATATATACTCACACACTGAAATCTCCCCACGAGGGAGGTATCTTATCTCGTCTTATCTAAGTAAATATCTTGATGTGTGTGCATCATGTTGAGTTCATTGCTAGTTTTCACATCCATGTGTTTTCTGCCTCTGTCACATTTTTTGATTTTCAGACCAAAAAGTGAAAAAGGGAGAACCACCCTCACTCAGCAGTCAGCACAAAGCATCTCTGGGCCCTTTAAGAAAGGTATGCAAAAGATGAAGATGGCAGATTGTGGTCTGACTGGTTCACAACATTTTACTTTTACAAGACTCTTTTGTTGAGACAAGCAACAAATAGAATAGAATATTTATGGAACAAAAAAAGTTAAATCATAGAAATAATATAATATAATATAATACAATGAATGCATGTACATTTGACAGATTAATAGGAAATATAAGTCAAGATAGCCTAGCCTTTCTCTCAAAACTACATGTTGTTTGTCCCAACTACAGACAAAAGAGAGTGTTTGTAATAACTCAGACCACAATATTTCATCTTCATATTATTGGAAGACACATTATTTTGTATACTTATGGCTATGAGTCACTTTTTGACTCTTTGGGCAGAGAGTTATAATGCTGCGCTAAAGAAATCAACCTAAAGATACATGCAAGTGAAAACCTGTGATGGAACTAAACTGCTTTGAGAGCGATTAACTAGTTGGATGAATTTTAGCACAATGTTCCATTTTCGAGGTGTGTTATTCAGGTACCCGAGCTTTAATAATCCTGTAATTGATTTTACCATAAAAAGTATCGTTGTTTTACTCCATTGAGTCGATTTCGCGTCCACGTTTCCATAGAATTTAAAGAATTTAACATAGTTTTACCTTGTGTGGCTTAAAGAGAGTTTCGCAAAACTAGCAAAAAACAAGTACAGTCCTTAGCTCTGTGTTTTACTTTTGTCTTGTCGCCATAGCTTGAGATCAAATATTTTACTTGTATCCATCCTACAATGTATATGTCACCACTTTGCACCTTGGGTTGTGGAGTGAGATTTATTGACTTGAGTTTATGATCCAGACGTAATTCAGTTTGTAAAATATAAATAACTGTTAAACATTAATATCTTGAATAAATTGACAAATGCATAAATAAAAAGTCAGTTTAGGCAGTCCCCCGTAAAGAGTCACTCTTTGGATAACTCGCTGGATAAGTATTTATTTTAGAGCATTAGAAAATCGCAGGCTTATTCATGGCAAAGACAAAGAATTTTGACCAGAAACTAGATGATCTCAGTGAAAGTGTGACAAAAAGAAGGCGTGACATTGTCTCTTTCTCCCAGAATAGGCCCTGCACCAAATTCTGAACATAGGTTTTTAGTTTCTGTTTCTAGAGGTAATTTTCCGTATTTGTTGGAAACATTCAAGACACTTGAGGCAAACCTCCTGTATGGTCTAATAACAAAAGTGAGGTTGTGTTTTGCACAAACAACAAATGTCAAACTTAGAGGCAGCATAGACATACTGTAGTAAGTTGCTGTATTTTAAGTTTAATCAATCGAGGTGCTCCACGGTGTGTGCAAAGTAATCCACTAAAATGTCACCATTTCTGCATTTGGATCATAAATACTTTTACTCTAATGTCAAGGTGCTCATAATTTTTAGTAAACCTTAGATAAATAAAGCCCTAGATGTCATCTTTCTCAAAGTGCTTCAAAATCAAGTTTGCTAACATTCCCCCGTTAAGGCTATACTGTACTGTACTGTACTATACTCGAGTACCATTCCTATACCTTCAGATTTATCAAAAATACACCTTTTACAACATATACATTTTGTAGCATGTGTATTTGATAAAAACATTCATTTCAAAATCAAGGTAGATCTACAATACAGATTATGATAAAAGTAATAATAATAAGAACGGCATCACATAAGTAGCTAAATTAAAAAGTGAACTTCAGATAAAGACATTGTTCAAGAGTGAAGTCATGGACTATCTGTAAATGTATTTACACGTGATGAGATATTCGGGAAAGGCTTGTGTGTCGTTGAATATGATAAACATGGTAGGCTTGGTGATGTTGTCTGTTACGCTGTCGTATCTCAGAGGAATGTCCCCGGTCTCCTTCAGAGGGGCGGTCTTCATGGAGTGGTCTCCTTTGGTGTAGTCTCCGGTCAGAACTTTAGCCACAAAGATAAACTTGTGTCCTTCTATGTTTGGAGGAGAATATTGGTCTGCTATGGATAGGGAGGAGTTCACGGCGAAATACACTCCTTGGCCATAGACAGTAGCTGAGGACAAAGAAAACATGATGTAAACATTGTTATACCATGTTATTATGATGTAAGTAATGTTATTTATACAGCGCTTTACAATGTGCAGAATTCAGACATTTTTCCATTCTCTCCACACACAGCGATTCAATCATTACATCCAGACCTATTGTACATGTTTATAGTGGTAGAGGAAACCGGAAGCACCCGGAGGAAACCTACGCAGACACGGGGGGGGGACATGCAAACTTCACACAGAAAGGCCTGGAGGTGGAATCGAACCCAGGACCATCTTGCTCTAACCGCTGCTGATGGAGGATGCCTTGATGTTCTCGGCAAGGCAAGTTTATTTACTGCAATTTAAAAAGTCCAAACATTTCCCAAGGCGCAATTCAAAAAGTTTGTTACAAGTGACTTATAGAAGTGAATTTGTATTATTGCAGAAAACTAAAACTAAAAATTAAAATACAACGCTTTTTGGATAAAACAATTAACAACATTGATTAGTTTCACACATTATGTTTTAGTATTTTAGTTATTGATCTTTTGTAATAGTCAGATAATCTTCAATAGAGGTTGTATTTTTGAACAAATTAAGCTGTAAAGAGCTGGGGTTCGCTTTTAGAATCGAATAAAATAGCTTGTTAATATATTGTATCAAATCAAATTCAGAGTGCTGTGTAAAGAAGTAGTAAGTAAGTAAGTAAGTAAGTTTTTATTTATATACCGCCTTTTCACTGCAGATCTGAGTCTCAAAGCGGTTTACAATTGTTAATTATGGGCATTTGTCTCTCACTCCACACAGAGATGGGAGCGGGGTCGCCAGTACAGGAGGCACATGCCAGAACTATTGGACATATTTTTAGTGGTAGGGGAAACCGGAGTACCCGGAGGAAACCTACGCAGACACGGGGAGAACATGCAAACTCCACTCAGAAAGGCCCTGTTCCGACCGGGATTCGAACCCAGGACCTTCTTGCTGAGAGGCGAGAGTGCTATCCACTCAGCCACCGTGCCGCCTAAAGTATGAAGTACTGTACACGATGTGGCCTGTATCAAGGTCTGCATCATGTGGGCAAACTGAGAGATACCCAGCCCCATGTCTTATTTTTATCGGCTCTGTGTGTCAAGCATTTTAAATCATAATATTGCACTTTTGTCGCCATTAGGTTTGAGACATGTTTTGGACGTTTTAAATTTCTATATTGCTTCAAACTAACCAAAATGAAAAGAAATATAAGATCCTTGGCTTCCCCTGCACGCAATCTCAGTAACTGGAAACACAAAGGGCTGCCAGTGTATTTTTTTCCTTCAATTGTGTTTAAATGGGAACAAAGCACTAATCCTACGACAAGCACAGTCAAAAAATATATATACAAAATCATAGGGTGTGAATTAGAATGGAGATTACTCAAACAAGGATTGGGAGAAATATAGCTTTGAGTGTATAGGGTTCTACCATTGTTGATCCAAGGATTTGGATTTTCTTCCCCCTCAAAATACATTGGGACAGTTGCACATTTATCCTGAGGCAGTAAGGAAGTCAATACCATTTTTAGGCAAAAAGTAATACACAAAAAATACCGTTCTTTCCACAGAAGCTTCTGTTGAATCCATGCACACAAATCTCCTTGACGCTGCTCTCGCTGGTGCCGTGATAAAGAGTGCGTTCCACTTGTGGATAAACAGCAGCCTGCTTCACACTGGACTTTTTCAGCTGGTACTGGCTGTATAACAGTTTGTTCATCAGTTTGTCCACCTGCCATGCAGATAGAAAGCATTATTACACATGCTGCAGATTTGGTCTTAATCTTTTATCTAATACCTTTACCTTGATTATTCGGACTTTACTATGCCACTGCTGAATGGTCTCATAGAAATTCTTCACCACTGTCTGAAATTCTTCTGATTGTTCATCGACTCTGGTTGCCTCAGGCAGGTTTGACAGGAGAGAGTAATCCTCTTCTGTTAACAAAAGATTTCATTATTTATAGATGTGAGGAAGCCTCCTTTCTTCTTTGAGATATTGGTGGGAAATCTTCTCTCCGATATCCATTCTAGGTCAGGCTTTCCAACCGTTTTAACTCACACATGTGGATAGATGAACCTGTTACATGCTGCAGTGAGGCATTTCATGGCTCACACCAGTGTGTGTGACCGTCCTCAGCACCCACCCGCCCTTAACCAATACCAATGAAAACGCATCAAAAGAAAATGAACTAGGCCACTTACAATTGGTTTTCCTACATGCACTACCAATAATGTCAGCATACTATGGTTGTATTCATCTGATTTCACAACATTCCAAAGAGCCTATAGTTTAAAACTGTGGTGAGGGCAGAGGGCAGCTGAGAACTCATGGTGAAAAGTCAGACTTCTAGTTTAGAACCCATTTCTCTAATTCTTGAGCCAATCCACATGAAACAAAAACACAATGTTTGCTATCTTCTTTGACAGTACAAATCAGCCATGGTGTAACTATTCTCTCATAAAAAATGTGTCAAGAAGTGGTGACAATATTCAAAAACACATGCATGACGTTGAGGAATCTAGATCATGATGAACCTTTTCAACAAATAATGATCTGGTATAACACAGGCTCCTGCCCTCCATGTATGCAACCAATTGACAATGGACTGCGAGTTCTGGCATTTTACAGAAAAAAGCAGACCCTGACAAGACAGGACTCTGCGTGACTGATATTTGGAACGGTGTGTGCACTGTGCTTTACATGCACTTTACAGGTACAAAACAGAATGCCATTAAACATGTCACATTGTTCATATCATAGTTGCTTTTTGGAAAACATGCGAAAGAACACGATTATCACATGTCAACTACTAGTGTGTGAAAATGACCTGGTACAGCTGCGTCTGCTCCTTCTCCTGGGTTGACTACCTCTCTGGCGATCTTTATGTTTTCTCCTGATGCGATGTTGTTTACTTCCATCCTCTCAATGTTAATGATGTGTGGCTGATTGTCCAGTGTGACTTCCAGTGTTTTCATCCTCATTCTCCAGGCCATCTCTATGAGAACGCTCAAATCTGAAGGATATGGAGTCTTGTGCCTCATATTCGAGTCATAATGGAGCCACTGGCCGCGCTTTAGAATCTCCTTATCCGATACAGAATCTGCTAATTTCTCTAAAAGCAGTTTCACATTAGGCATCGCTTCCTCCACATATTTTTTAAACCCTGAGACGCTGATTATTGTGCCTAATAACTCAATCTTAACGGCGTGGTTTCTCCTGATCACATCCAAACACGTCTTGTGGAAATCGGACATGTATCTTAGGCATCTGTGCTCCAACTTTTGCTCATCTTGACTTTGGGTCACTCTCTTGTTGAAAGCTATGTCCACGCGAATCAAGTCGGAGTTGTAGTTTGCGAACACAACCAAGTTCAGAATGTTCGCCGACTGGATTGTGTCTTGAAGCGAGCGCTTGGTAGGCGTTACGGGGTTTGGCATTTCTTTTATCATTTCCTTGGACAATTCTAAAGCTTTTTTCAGTTGTGCGTCTTCGTTGTCCACAGACCATTGATTTGATGACTCCATAGAGTATTGGATGGCAAGAGACAATTGGGCTTCTTCTTCCAAGTCACGTGAAAAACCTGTTGCTCCATTTTCTGAACTATTTTCCTGTGCTGTTAAAGATTCTTGACTTAATGCATCAGCAGGTTCCTCGGCAGTGTACAAGTCAATATTGTCCATGTCTTCCAATGTGTCTGTGAGAGGCAGCGGCGGACTTTCTTGCGTGACCGAAACGATCTTTTTGGCCTCATTGATCAAACCTGGGCAAAACATAAACATTAGAATGTGTAGAGAATTGCTCAAAATAAATGTTTGGTGAAAAAGATGGTTTACTAGTGTTTCCTTCTGCGTTGTCAGTTTGCATCGCATCCTCCGGTAAACCATTAGCAGGAGGTCGAGTGACAAAGTTTTTGTCAGCTGTCAGCTTCCATGCACATTCAAGCATGTTCTGGAAAGAAAATGACATGTTATAAATGACCGGTTACATTCATCTAAAACAGGCATGTCCAAACTAAGGATTGCGATCCAAATGTGGCCATCTGCCTTGCTAACACAAACTAGCCATTGAGATCATAAACGCAAGCTCAGTGTCACCCAGCCAACTTCAGCTCCACCAATATAGACATGCTATACCTCGTTGTGAACCTCAGAGCCCTAAGAATCCAGTTTAATTGTACAGTATATACTGACATTTGTTTTTGACTGCGTCCCAAAATTTCTTCAATGGCGCTAACGGTGTGATAGTGGTGAGATAGTAAACACTTCACGATAAACTTCTGTCAAATGTGAATCAATAGATTAATTAACCTAATTTTAAAGCTCAGAACAGCCAAATCCACTTTTACTATCTAGTCTGTAGGCCTCTGGACAAGTCTGCCTAACTAAAGTGGCCTTCTTACTAAGAGGTTTGGACATCCCTGATCCAAATATCAGGTCCAATATCTATTCCCTCTGCACCAGCTTCATCATGTTACAGTGTTTATGGGGTCATACAAATACAGGCACTCAGTAAATTACATGCCAACAGTATTAGTGAGGGTGCTTCATAAAATTAAGCCTGATATCGTTATTCCAGCTTTGGAATTGAATCCAAACTGAAAGAGCTAGCATCACTCATCCTAAATGGACCATTAGCAGTGAACAAAAAATACATCAGTAGTATTAGTTATAGTCATTGTAAAAAGAATATTGTAAATCTGTTCTTAACTTATGCATATACATGAATTGGTGTTCACATTAACAATAAACTGGACTGGTCCCATAATACAAACGCCCTGCACAAGAAGGGCCAAAGTCGCCTCTTCCTTCTGAGGAGGCTGAGGTCCTTCGGAGTGAGCAGGCCTCTGCTCAGGACTTTTTATGACTCTGTGGTAGCTTCTGCCATTTACTACGCTGCCGTGTGTTGGGCCCCGGGCAGCACAGAGCGGGACAGAAACAGACTGAACAAGCTTGTCAGGAGGGCCAGCTCCACTCTGGGCTGCTCCCTGGACTCTGTGGAGGAGGTGAGGGACAGGAGGCCCCTGGACTCTGTGGAGGAGGTGAGGGACAGGAGGGTCTAGTCAAAGTCACCTCCATCATGGACAACACCTCCCACCCACTGCACAGGACTGTAGAGGAGCTGAGGAGCTCCTTCAGTGGAAGACTGAGGCACCCTCAGTGTAGGAAGGAGCGCTACCGCAGGGCCTTTATCCCCACTGCTGTCAGACTGTACAATAAGTCACTTTAAATGATCACTGTGTGAAAACCTGCACTACTATTGACACTGTTTCCAATTGACACTTATTGTCACTTTTATTTTACATATACATCCTGCATGTAACAATTTCTCCTATGTGAGATAAATAAAGCACATCTTATCTTATCTTAATTATACTTTATAATAGGTAAATTTGTCCTCTGCATTTGACCTCATTAGTAAGTTTGGTCAGGACCAGAGCTGGAGTATTTTTACCTATTGTGCAAGGTTTTAGCGGTAGGGAGCACTCGGAGGAAATATACGCTGACAATGAGAGAACATAGAGACTCCACTTAGAAAGGCTGTTTTCCGACCAGGATTTGAACCCAAAACCTCACTCAGCCTTTGAAGAGTTGGGCAACAAGATCAGAAATTTGTTTGGGCAGAAAGCAAAAATGTCCCTCTTTTTATATTGTGTTTGTCATCGGGATTTTGAGATGAAACACTTCAATAACCTCGTATTTGGAATCTCCAATTTAAATCAACACCGTAGCCCTTTGAAGACTGTTCAAAAACACGGCCTTTCTATTATGGAATAGCCCAGAAACACAACAGCAATCAAAAAAGAACCAAGTGTAGAAAATGCTGCCAGTCAGTATCAGTCAGAGCACTTTCTTTCATCTCTCCAACATGACATTTCTCTCAACAACAAACAAAGTGCATTTCAGTAAAGCATTGCACTAAACTTATATCACCTCTGTTTGTACTGCTCCACTTGCCTGAGGCTTCACTCTCTCAGCAAAGCAGGAAATGTATTTTATTTATTGAACTGACTCTTAATAACAGAAATGCGGTGGTACCTGGTTGGTCGGTGGCTCCCAGGGCACCATCTCTGGGAAGATGCTGACGTGGAACCTGGTCTCCATGTTGTGAAACATCATCTTGGATTCCTCCGTTTGCCAGTAGCGTGTGACTCCGGGAGCGATCACGGTGATGGTTTTGGTGCAGATGTCATTCACCAGGCCTTGGAGGAGTTCTTCAGCGATCTGGCACGCAGTGGGGTGGCCATGGATCTGTAAATGTTGGAAATTAATACTAAATTAATACCAATATGTACCTAATTTGATTAAACAACATAACTTATTCAACAACAATAGCTGGTTCAGAAGATATACAACTGTTTCATGCTGATAGTTCATTCCTGTTGGTTTTAAAATTACAGAAGATAATAAAGATTGTTACGGTGTAGCAACATAGTCATGTGTCCGTGGTTGGGCTGCAAGATAAATTAGCTAGTGCTGCAATTACTTAAATTCTTATTCAGTCTAAGTTTAGACCAGGGGAGTGTAGGATTTCATTCCAACCAAGCAGAAGCACACCACACTCAAAAACCATTTCCTCCAGTGAGTCAAGTCTGAACCTGAAGACCTGAGGAAAGGGTTAAGAGTCTGGTGTGCTCCTGCTTGGTTGGAATGAAAACCTTCAGCCCTGGTTTAGACCTTAATATGCTCTGAAATGCATGTCAATGTCGAATTTCAGCAGTTTCCCCCTCAAAGTACAGTTCATTTTCTCCCTTTTTTGACTCAATGTTGTTCAAATGTCAGTGCTTTTCTACATATCTAACTCTTTAACACCAAAGTCGAAGGAGATCTGAAAAAACTCCTGATAACACATTACAGCATTTACATATATGTGTATCACAAAATAATAATTCAATATATTGTCACAAACCACAATTACAGCTATTGACAAACTTCTCTAGCTCGCTCACCTTTAAACCGCACACGTCCCCCGTCTCCATGGGGATAATGGACACCTCTGTCATATCTGCCAGCAGCTGATGAGAGTATCTCTGGATGTATTTAAGTCTGCCTGGCTCCATCTGAATAAAAGTCTCCCTTTCCATCGGCGTGGTGAGGAAAGTTAATATGGCCGCCTGCTTTTCCTGCTCCATCCCCTTCAGAGTGAGCACATCCAGATTGGCCCCTCGTTCTGCCACTTTCACACACCCCAGAGCCTGACAGAACTCCTGCCACTCCCGACAATACAGCATGCTCTCGTACTTCGGGTCCACTTGCATGCTGAAGCTGCAAACTTGGGATTCTAACAGGCTGGCTGCTTGTCGTGCAGAATCTTCCGACACCGATGTCACCACGACGCTGCGATCGGAGAGCACGTACGAAGTCGATGGGTCCATTTGGTTGATCATTTGCTTGAGCCTGACTTCGACGTCTTTCTGTGCTAAAAACTGGGCTTTCTCGAGCTCTACAGTCAGAGTGAGTTCAGTTATGTTACAAAAAAACTCCATGAGTGTACATTTTACTTTGTCCATTTCTGTCCCTTTTGGACCCGTGATGGAGAGGCCCTCGTTTTCAATTGTGATGTTGTAATCCGGATGAGTTCTTTGGATGTCTCGCTGTAGTGTGCTTTTCTGAAAAAGAGCCAGTTTCTGCAAATGAATGGCAATAATTTCTGTTGAGATTTGAACCTCATCTGTTTGAGAGTCCTCCATGACTTCCACTGGGGGATCAGGGCTGCTAGCGCTTTCTAAAATAGGTATTTCAATGGGAGTGATCTGCATTGCGTTATCGTCTTGGTCCACCGAAGCTTGGTTTGTGATGACAAGGCTGCTGGGTTGAGGCTCTGGTTGAGGCTCGGGTTGAGCCTCGAGTTGAGGCTCAAGTCGAGGCTCAAGTCGAGGCTCAAGTTGAGCCTCGGGTTGAGGCTCGGGTTGAGGCTCGGGTTGAGGCTCGGGTTGAGGCTCGGGTTGAGGCTCGGGTAATGACGGGGAGACATCTTTGGGTTGGAGAAAATCAAAGTATGGTTTTAACACCAATTCAGTGCCTTCCAGGTTGTGAGTGTGGCCCAGGACCAGGCCAACAGCTGCAAAAAAACATTTAATTACTACATATTAATATTCAATCATTGTTTATAATTGTTGTACAAATAGTTTTGTTATATAATAATATAATTGCCCCCTCCGCTTTTGGAGTCTGTATGATTACGGATAATCGTCTTCATTATGTCTTTGTTCAAAAGAAAGAATTAAGCTGACAGACCGTTCCTTTGTTTACAACAAACTTTAAGCTGGACCTAGTACATCCTCCCTACATCTGCATTAGGGCTGCATGATTAATCAATCAATTACAATTTCATTTAAATCACAATTGTCGTGGTCCTAGATAGCAAGTTACAAAGGCCACAATTGCTTTAGTTGGTTGTATAACTCAGACCTTATTACAAGAATTTGGTGAGGAAAGATATAAATTACTTAATTCTAAATATAACATTTTTGCAGTGGAGCTTTCATCATTTAAACTTTTTTCTGAAACATGTAAGAATGAGTGAGGTAATTGCTTCACTTAAATTACATTCTTTTGACGTTTTTATTTTTACTCACAAAAACGTATTTTTGCCCAAATCTTGCAGTCCTAATCCCAATAGTGTTTGACTGTGCGACAGTAAACTTACACTCAAAGCTGACAAACGTGACTTTTGCTGATCCTTCTGACAGCATGACCACCTCCTTCACACGCTGAGCGCCTCCTCCAGGCCCCTCAAAATACTGAGAGAGCACGTCTGCAGCGGTGCCTGGGTGGACGTTCTCCACACACACTGCATCCGTCTCAGTTACTTCTTCAAGAGTCACGGCTGATCCATGAAGCCGTCTTTTTGAGATTCGCTCACTGAGCCGTTGAAAATCTGTAAAGAAGACCACTGTTATGAAAAGTCCATATTCTCATGAAGACCAGCAGCTGCAGACCTTGTGCGAGGGCTTTTCCGGTTTGAATGAGGACGAGTGTTCTGTCCACTGAGGGGAACAGCTTGTAGTCCGGTAAGTTGAGGTTCATGAGGTTCTCCACATACAGCTCAATCGTCTCAATGCTGGTGCTGGGGTTTAGTCCCTTTAATAAAAACCTGCATTGGTCCTTCGAGGCGGGTCTTCTCACGCTCAACTCCACATTATGGATAACATGGTGGTGTTTGGAGAGCACCCGAGCTGCAGCTGTTGCACACATACACATTTTTTTAATGCAGTTTTTGTAATGTATATTTGCTTTGCTCTTTTTGCTCAAATAATGAAAGAAACACACGTGAACAAATATGACGATGATGCATTACAGCACTTAAATCAATAATAAATCATCAATAATTTATTGCATTTTGCTCTTGTTGAGTTTATTTTGTCATTACTGATCATTAAAAAAGTAAGAATCCATCTTGATTTAAAATGAATGAACTGCAGAGACATATTCAAATGTGTATTTGTACGGCTGTGAATAACAAATTCAAAAGATGTAACAGTGTTGGGGGAGCTTCATAGTAGTTGTATAATAGTTAATATAGTACACTGACAAAAAGTTTACTTTACCTGAGCATTACTTTAAATACAAGAGAAGTATGATATACATTTCCACTTGGGTCTGTCTGTGGCTTTTTACTTTTAAGCACATTCAAGGGGCTCCATGTTTAAACTGTGACATACGTTCACTTACAATGGAAGTTTGAGAAGTAGTAACTAGAGATTCTAAACTCGTATTGGGGAAAACGCTTATACCTTCAAGAGCCCTCACTTTTCGTGCTAATCTTTTGCAATGTGGATGTCTACTTAAGACTAAGCACTACATCACATTACTGAATTAATGCTGTGTGGTTGATTTGATTGTAGTTAGATCAGAGTGTACCGTCTGACTCCTCAAACAGCAGTGTGGCAGCATCTCCTCTGATGTCCACAGAGAGCAGAGGACCTCCTCCAGACCTGCGTCTGTTCTCAAAGTACAGAGTGAGCAGCTCCTCATCTACACCTGTAGGAAGCCCCAGCACCTGCAGCACACGCCCCGGCTGGCTCTCTGTCATCCTGAAACACAAACACATCTGATTAGTTGAAGAAAGATAAACTTCTTTGGTACTTGAACACCACAACGTATTATTTTCCACTTCTATCTAGCATATATTAAATGTATAATATCATGTAATCGTAATTGTTTGTGTTCCAGACTCTGGTGTGAAGGATGCAATTTAAAGAAACATTATTTACTTACTAGCTTAATGTGATCTGTAGTCCTTACAAAATTTAAAACATACACCATATGTTCATACTGTGAGACACATTTTGCTCAAAGGAAAAGATAACATAAAACAGCAATTCTATTCAATGATGTCAATTGGAGGAGAGATGCATTTAAAGTGTAGCGTTAACATGGCCAATTAACAAGTGTCATATTTGTTTATAGCTTTTGCTGCTGCCAACCAAAGGCAAATGAAAGGTTTATTCATCTCGGTATCAGTGACCAGTTATCCAGTGGTAAATATGAGAAGAGGGAGCAATGTTTTCCAGTTATAAACTTGTAATTACTCATAAACAAGAGGGATGTTTCAATCAAATACATTCAGTCTCAGAAAATTCCAGATATAATTAAAATACAGAGCTGTGTACTTCTAGAACTGTCATACTTCTGATATAATCCTCCGCAGGCAAATCCTCAACCTCAGTGACATTAAAGCAGCTGTTGGCACCTTTGGCAACATGGGCTGATTCCAAGACCAGAATTATACAGAGAGGAAATGTTTGCTTCTTTATGTACCGTCCTTAACGCTGATCTCAATGCAACACAAAGATATGACCATAAGACAGGAAATGTAGTCTTGTTTGGTTTTAACAACTTCACTAGCACTGTATTGCCTTTTCACAGTGAAGCCTATAACAGAACAACTATATGACAACGTTCTGCTCGCTGTACTACTTTAGACGGCTCAGGTACAGATAGTTATAGAAATTCAATGTTTCACTGTTCCATGCTCTCACAACATGAGTTAGCTTCTGAGCACAAGTGAAACTAACTCTGAGGAGCCATGTTTTCTGCACTATCGGCCGTTCTGCTCTAAAAAGGTTTATCTTTTGAATTCACACTGTAGTGTGAATTCATGTTTTAGTGTGCATTCTACACATTTGCAGCACATAACTCACCTGTTTTACTTCGCATAAGCCTAAGTTGAAGCATTCAGAGTTGTCACGTTCACTTCCTTGTTGTGCTTCTTGTCCGACGGCTTCACGTCTTAAAGAGACAGGCACACGCTGTCGCTCCCACAGTAGTTCCACCATACAGTATAATATTTAAAATGCGTACGTAAGTTTAGACTTTACTTTTCCCAAAATGTAGTCAAGATTATTGTGTTTAAGAATATGCTGATGATTTTCTATACTTCATCCTACTTAGGCCGCATTTTTATTATATTATTTGACTTCCTGGTTGTAAATGATGACATCACCAGGGGGGTGGGACTGACCAAACCAGTCCAAAACTCGTCCAATCTACAGAAAAAATATATGTTGACAAACTAAAGCGTTGTTTCCACCAGCCCTCCTTTGCTATACTTCATTTGGCTCTACTCAGCTCATATGATCACTTTAAATGGAAAGTTCAAGTGGTTAATTCTACAGTAGCCCCAACACTTTCTAATGACCAATGACCAGATTGGATTTTTGAAATTCCTCACCAAGTTCATAAAAAATCTGAAAATAATTAAATTAACAAAAAGCTTAGTTGATTAGAGGTGATTACACATCTGACTTAAAATGTCTGGAAATGCATAATGATGTGCATTTTTATGTTTTTAATAATGCAATAAAACAATAAATCATAGATTCTAATCTCTGGGGGAACTGTAAATACCTTCTTCTCATTTCTCGCACTGTTTTTCTGCAATGTGGGTGTCTAATTAAAAGGAAGCACTACTTCACATTACTGAATTAATGCTAGAGTGGTTGATTTGATTGTAGTTAGATCAGTGTGTACCTTCTGGCTCCTCAAACAGCAGTGTGGCAGTGTTTCTGGTGTTACAGAGAGCAGAGGACCTCTTTGGACATTTCATGACACTTTATACACAAGGCAGTACTTTTCTACTACTTGTTTTGGTTATCTCAAGGCCAAGCTACTGGCACCGTGGCGAATGCTGATTGGACGGTCTTCATCCTCCACGCTGTATAATATCACATACTGTAAATTCTGTAACATCTTTGTTTGTTCAGTCTACCATCAACAATAAAAAATGTCTTCTGTCTGAATTTAAGACGCGATCCCAGAAGTTTGTCATTTTCTTCACCTCCTCCAGACCTGCGTCTGTTCTCAAAGTACAGACTGAGCAGCTCCTTGTCCACACCTGCAGGAAGTCCTTGCTCTAGCAGCACGTGTCCAGCACAAACCATGACATTTGTTGGTATCATGGCTTCCAGCAGTACTCTGGCTGATCACTGTCAGTTTGAACACTTTAATAATTGGGCCTGCACCAAGGCCAAGAGGGACCATAAAAGTGTCTAGTATGGTTAAAAAGGGCCGGTGGAAACATTAGAGTAGAACAGAGCAGAGCCTTTTTTCGTTTGTAAATACTGCCAAACTGGAGTTTTTTTGTTTTTTATTAAAAAAACTCCACATTCCACTTCATCAGAGTAGAAATATCAAAAAAACTGTCATATTAATTTCAAAACAATAAGTTAAATATCATCTGGATTCTTCTGCCTTGATAGGAGTGAGAAGGGAGGATCACCCTCCCTGTACAGGGAGGATTCAGATATTTTTCATTTAACTGCATCAGTATTATAACTTAACTTGTGTCAATATAGTCAAGCTATACCTCTTTTGAAAGCTTATTCCCACCTCTAAATGCATATTATGTTCAAATAAACATTAAATATCAACAAAAGTAAGTATTTGTAGTCAAACTGTATACATATAAAAAATATATATTGTCCTTTCTTACCTTTTCATGCTAATATTCTGGGCCAAATCACGTCTAATCCACACATGTGTGCATTCATTTTGTCCGGGAGGGTCTAGAGAATAATTATATCCAGTTGTTTTTTCTTCAAAGTCATCCTTATAGTAGATATCCACTTGTAACGACACATTTGAGTTTTGAAAGTTGCCCGAACAAAAATAAAACCGCGTCTTTGCGCACTGTCTGAAGACGCCATTGTTTTTTTTACCCAGTATCACTGGGTATGTTCGTCTTCCTCTCAGTCTTCCCTTCAAAACAAGCCCTCACTCGGACTTCTCAGTGCTATGGTTTGGGGGGTACAACAAGTTGACGAAAACAAGCACACCAAACTTCAGCCCTCCAGGCATTTACCTTTCTGTGCGTCATGACAGCATTGTCTTGACTACCATTGGCCGATTTGGATGTCAATCAAACCATCTTGTAGCCAATAATCTCAGGTTTCAGGCGATGTGTTGGACTTCTAGCTTCCTCCCACTGTTCCCGTCATATTTGAATGCGTAAAGAGGAAGACGGAGCCTTTTTCACGGAGAACACGCGCTATAACTATATAAATAATAGCTTTTCTGCAAACATTTCAATATCTGGAAAAAATGCTATTTATAGCAAGAGTAATAGCCAAAAAATTATATAAATGGATTTTGGTGTAAAAACATTGATAATTTGCATGTAAAACACTTTTGCACAGTTGGCACAAAAATGGACCACTTGTGCCGAATGTGCCCATTAGTTACAAAAAAGCCCCCAGCATCAAAATAGTTCCACCTAAAGGTCTAAAATTTCATACATGTGTTTCCAACACCACAAACATCTGCTCTGGTGAGTTTGAACATCATACCATAAAGTATGTCTTCAGAAGAACCTTTTGAAATTGTGTTTTTTTTTTCGAGACAAAAAAAACTAACTTTGACTCATGTTTGAGATAGTGTAGTGCAGACTGTGTCCTTCCTAACAAACTGTAACATACATTTTCAGAAACTAGAAGGTGTTACCTTTCAAATGAGGCCTCATAACACAAAATCAGACACAAGATGTCCACACAATAAGCATTTCCATTTGGGTATCATAATTCGAGAAGGAGCAGGCGAAATTAGGTGATCCTTAAAGGGTTAACATTTACAAGTTTCCAGTGCACTTAAATTATTGTTATAAACAGAATGTCTCAGAGAAAAAGTCTACCAACTTTATAAAAAAGTAGTCAAATGGAAAAGAAAACTACTTATTATTTATGAGTAGTTTGAATGCATTGTTACTGCATTCCTCCCATTCTGTACGTCTAACTATACCAACCTTACAACATTTCAATTTTACTCTTAAAATGCGCTTATCTCATAATGAATGCCAGATCAGCTTCTGTTGGACTTGGCGTATAGCAACATGCTGCAAAATCCATGTTAATAAGTGTCTTCCACTGTTTCCAAAGCAATGGGCCAAAGTGGTGTTTAATGGGAGGTTATCAATGCACAGAAGGTTAATGGGGCTTAAATACATTTTATGACTGGCATAAAAGTCAAGAGAGGTTTTTGAAATGAAGCATGGCCTGTCCTGTCCGGCTTGTTAATCCATTTGAATGTTGGATCATTAGCATGCGCGGTAGAGAAAGAGTTATACGAGCATGTTTAATTACCTACGTTCATCTTATCCTTTCCAAGTTGGTTGTGAGTGGTAACAGAATACTGTATATGACATTCTGTCTCTAATTGTATGGACTTTCCTCAAAATCTTAGTGAGCAGATTTGTTCATGTGTAGAGTAGGCCAATAATAATAAAAATGACTTTTGACGATGTACAGTACATGTTTGATTGATCGCTTTGATCAAGAGCGCAAAACCATACATTTTGTTACTAAGCCAAGTCAATAGAAGCCAAAGTGAGTTGGAGCAAAACTTTGTCCATGCGCACTTCCCCATTGGGCTTTATTGAAATAGCATGTTAGCTTGTCCATCTGTATACAGTCTATGGTTGCAATTGTATTATCTGAAAGTCTAAACATCTATTGCAAAAATGAGACATCCTTCTTGGGTATGTCAATGTCATTATGTTTTTAATCCATCAATATCCGATGTGTGGCTTAAGAATCATATCTTTTTTTAAACAATAGAGTAGCTACACTTTTTATCATCAATATTAATAGCACAATAACAGATAAATTATTTCATTCATTTTCCCATGCTCTTCTTGCACACCAACTGGACAATCTCTATATGACATGTATCATTTTAAAGGTTATCAAGTAACAGTGTAAAGTCTATTGCCATATTATAATATGAAATTATTTGAGACCAGAGGCTGGGAATTGTAAATCCAACTTAATAAACGGCCTTGATTAGATTGTAATGACTGCTCTCAGGCAAACCGTGCATTATAATGAAAGGGAAGGAAATTTGAAATTCTACACAACTCACAGCATGGTGTCTTTAATTACTTTTCCATGTCATTATTATGCAAGCCTCACAAGCGCTTGAATACATTTTTAATATAACATGTTCTAAGCTTTTTTATTCATTTATTAAGGTATAGCTGGAAATCTAGGGCGTAACCTATCTATAAAGTTTTGTGGTATTCTCTTGTAAAATTGCATGTCAGAGTTCTTTTGCAACTCAGCAATTTCTCTAATGGCAGTTTTTGGGGGAAACTTTCTCTAGCGGCATCTGCAAAAACAGCTGCAGCGTGAAGCATCATGACAAATTATAGACACAGGATACATGGATGCACTTAGTGTCAGCAATGGGAGCGTTTCATTTCAGGGATGCATGTGGGAAGGAAGCTATGTGAGCCAGCATCTGACTGCAGCACACATTTCCTAAAGGCACACTCACACCACATTGCCAGTGCATAAGATCAGTAATCCTGCGATGAAATATATGTGTTCCAACAATACATAATACATGAAGCTGCCAGACTTAAATACAGCCAGGGTTGTCAAATTATCATATTGCGTCTCTGGCACAGCTGTTCGCCCACTAATTTGGAAGTTGGATGTTTGGGCCATGGCAGGGCAAGCTGTTGTGTCCTAGAGAAGTGGTTCCCAACCTCTGTCCCTCTGTGTACCCTCTTGAGAGCATAGACAGAAGTATCCCCTGATGTTTAGTTAAAGGGGGGGGAAACCACTTACTCCAGGGCCAAGCTCATAAGGGTGTACGTATCCCTGGTTGGGAATCACTGTCATAACGCAACACACTTCATATTATCGTTGAGGAATAATCTAGAAGTTACTGTTACTAAACTATTGACCGATCGTGCTGCTGTAATGGGACCACTCGTGCAGTATTGTTATGGCTAATTGTCAACCCTCAAACACAAAACACAAGCACTATTAAAACATTTATTTATTATAAATTTTATTTTAGTATTTCAATGATAGAAAAATGAAATGTTTAAATAATTATGATAGTGATTGGGTTCATCAATGAAACTTACATGTATAATTAAAGCTGATACAAGAGTTTGGCCACTAGGTGGGACTGTGCATGTGTTGTTGGTTGTTGTCAATATTCCAATTACTTGTCCACTCTAAAAGAAATAAAGGCACAACCAAATATAAGTTTAGGGTCAAAAAGGGGAGTATGTTTATAACTAACTAAAAGTAATGTAAATGCGTCTGTTCACATCGTAAAAGGTACAAAAGGCGCACCACATCAGAAAATCCTTCTCAAAATGGTTCCGTTTTGAGGCATTTGTAGATAACCATATATATATGCAAAACAAAACAATCAAAGTCAAGAGCACAAAATCAAAAAATAGTAAATAATTCTTCAATCACAGTAAAGCTTCAAGGGTCATGATAAAAGGCACTTCACAAACATGATTCAGAACTTCATAGTTATTATGTGCAGTACATCAATTTAAGGCACCCTGAACACAGAACACGGCCCGTGTTCTCCAAGGTTTAATCATCTATTCCTCATCATGGTGAGTGACAGAAGCTAATGGATTTATGCTTCTTGGTCCAGCAGCCAATGGACCCTGTGATGCATCCCAGTACATAAATTATATGCACTTTTTTTTTTCCTTTGGCACTGTTTAACTACAGCTGACAGCTTCTGTTCAAAGCTTCAAGTATGACTTTCATTCAAACATACAGAATGTTTAAGAATGCCTCACAGGTGAGAGCAAAAAAACTGCAAAAAGCAACATAAGAATAGTTATTTAACTAATAAAGAAACACACTTTATACTGTGCTGAGAGTGGTAAACATACAGTGAGTAAAATCAGTCTGGTGTCTGCATGGAGGATGAGTGGTGATAGGAGGGGACGATGGCTCAGTTTGGCAGCCTCACTTCTGCCCCAGGGCAGGTGTGACTACAGTCGTAGCCAATTCTTACCACCATTGAGTTTGTAATGAATGAATTATACAAGGAGAAGAGCATGTCTAGCATGTCTAAAAAGCCCTATACAAAAATGTTGCATTTTATTAATTTTTACATAAAAATAATAAATCCCCATTTTACTTCTTATGTGTTCTGTGGCAAAGTCAAAATGCATTTCACTGCTGCAATCAGCCGACAATCATGACGGGACCAACTCGGATGAGACACTTTTTTGAAATCCAGTCACAAATCACAGTGCTGGGGAGCAATTGACTGGCTTCCACAGCCAGAATGTATCCAGAATGTAAAACAGACAGATATGAAAATATGAGTGTGGCCATGTGGAAAGCATCTTTAAAGAGTGGTAATTATGAGAATGCTTCTGTTCCAACTCGTCCTTATCCTCAGATTAATCTGAATGCTTATGGCGGCACTTATCTTGTTTATATCAGAACGCGCCGCTCGCTCTGGTTCAAGGATCAGAATGCAAAGGGTTGAATCACATCGCCATGCCGAAAGCAGAGCAGATAAATGAGTTGTTTATCACAGGGTTTGCACTTGGAGACATTTATGTCCTTTGACCTCTTTTTAAGACCAACATGACCAATCAAATCTATGAAGTGATTATGTCCTTTCTTGAACAGTCATGATTGCATTTTTAAGGTCATTACAGGGCCAAGGAATTAATCATTACCTCAGTTTTTTTATTTCATACTAAAACAAAACATTTCAGCAAATGTTGCCACTACCACAAATCACAGCCTGACACAGCTGATGAAAACATACATAGAGGACTCCTGCCTCCTCCATTTGCTCTTGTGCCAGTGATTTCTGCTTGGATATGAAAAGGCATATCAGACAGGCTTGTGGGAACATGTCCTTTCAGACCATGTCAGCAGGTTAAGGTGAGAGGCCTCATTAATGTTGTAGAGGTTCGTTAGGCCGCCACACTGCACAGGCTCTGGATCATCTGCCTTTAAACATCTTAATCTTGTGCTTGTCCGCCAGCAGCAGGGTCACATTGTACTCATAGTCTCCATCGTGGACGCCGGTGTGTCGAAAAGCACCAGACAAGAGGTTCTCCTCCCAGTAGTGGTGCCAGTTCCCATTTTGGTCTGCGCCAAATCCAAATACATTGACCTAAAGCAAACAGAAAACAGAGATATGAGACCGCCATTGAGCTGTAGATTTGTTTGTTAAAGGAAAAATGCTTTTGAAAATATGTTCACGTGGCTCAAACGTATAATTATTTCAGTCATTCAGCAAAAGGAACTGTGGACTTTTGACTGGGGGAAAGTCCTTTGCTTGACTTAGAAAATATTAAAATTTTTCAATCCACAAGAAAAAAAAGACTTGGAAGCAGAAGCTGAATGAATGCCCTACGTAGCCTTTACAAATATTAAAACTGTGGTGATTTTTCCTAATATTATTTTCTGTTGGTTTGTGTTTACACTACTCATTAGATTCAGATTCAGATTCAATTTATTTGCCATTTGCAGTAAAAAAAAAACACATTGGAACATATTAGCAAAAAGTCTCCAGTGTGCACAGACAAATACAGACATAAAACAACATTAAAAGACAACAAATAAAACAGTAAACAAATGTCACTGTGAAATCGATCGACTAAAACAGTTTCAAAACAAGTGCAAATCATTAAAGTGCTCTGTTCACACTGATAACAGCTTGTGGATAAAAACTGTTAGCGTAACGAGATGTCCTGCATCTCAGAGAGCGATATCTTCTGCCAGAGGGAAGAAGCTGGAACATGGTTTTCCCAGGGTGGCCAGAAGAGTCATTGACAATCCTAAGAGCTTTGTTTAAAAGTCTGGATTTATAAAGAAACATCAGAAAAATTGATTTTCACTCTCTGAGATCTGTCAGTTAAAAAGCTAAAAATCCATTTACACATGGCAACACTTAAACCGAGAGACATGAGCTTTTCAATCAGTTTACCTGGAACAAGGCAATTAAAAGCAGAGCAATAATCGATGAAAAGCATTCTCGCGACAGATTTACTCGTGTCCAAGTGACTGTAGACAGAGTTCAGAGCAAAGGAGATGGCATCCTCCACACTCCTGTTCTGTCTGTAAGCAAACTTATTAGGAATAGACTCAAGGTTGAAGTCAGTTTCCATTTGAGCCACTGTGTAGTGAGCAGAAGTTCTTTTAGGTGGAGGCCCCTACTTTTGCAGATGTGATCGTTTTGACTGGAAAGTTCCACCATATGGAAACAATTTTTTTTTGAACCAGCTAAAATGACTGCTGTGCTGAAAACAACCAGCCTTACCTGATCACAGATGTGGATTGCGAATAGTAAGCTGAGAAAGCCAGTAGAGGGGTATCGCCCGTGCCCCTCAAGCCACGCCTCATAGATGTACTTAAAAAATGTTGGACTGTAAATCAGCACCTGGAGAGAACATGGATATAGATCATTCAACCACAAAGAAAACCTTCAAACTTTACTACTTATATAAGAGCTATAGTTGGGGAAATACATCAAACAGCTACTAATGAGCCAGATTTCCATGGAGGCCTGTTTTCCTGAGCAGAGAAAAGGCCCTATGAGAACAACAAAACTTTTCTGTTTTTACAAGTCTGATAAGTCATCTGATTGGTTGCCTCAAGAAGAAAATTGCAGCCAACAATCTGTTTTAGCCAAAATAAATACAGCCATTTTCACTGAAAAGCACTTGCAGCAAAAGCAGATGCGGTGGAGAAAACACGAGCATTATTCCTGGAGGTAGTTAACATGTGGGCCGATAAAAATCAAGTAACAGAATCAAAACATTGTGTTTTCTATAGCTCTAATGTACATGTGTAATCATGGACTTAAAATACAAAAAATACACTGAGATTGGAATACAAGTGCAAGACTATATCATGTTTACCTATTTATATATAATCTTTTTTGAGGACACAAAGCTGACCTCACTTTCACACAAAAAATGTGTGGTCTCAAACATCCATGTAACTAGTTCCTGGTTCCATGTATTTTTGGCCTGTCTCATTTTCAGAAAGAAATGTGAGAAAGAGGTCAACCCTCGATCAGATATTTTGGTATACAATAATAGGTTTTTTCATCAACTGGCTAGTTAATATACACTGTGGAAGCATGTTGTGGTCATGTTTGTTAAACAATTCTTTCTGTTGGGACAAACAAAATGTACTGATGAAACTTCTTTTAGGTAGTTAAAAGGTTCTTTTTGTGCTTCTTTTGAAAGACAAGTTAGATACAGTGCCTTGCGAAAGTATTCGGCCCCCTTGAACCTTTCAACATTTCGCCACATTTCAGGCTTCAAACATAAAGATCTAAAATTTTATTTTTTTGTCATGAATCAACAACAAGTGGGACACAATCGTGAAGTAGAACAAAATTTATTGGATAATTTAAACTTTTTTAACAAATAAAACACTGGAAAGTGGGGCGTGCAATATTATTCGGCCCCTTTACTTTCAGTGCAGAAAACTCAGTCCAGAAGTTCAGTGAGGATCTTTGAATGATCCAATGTTGTCCTAAATGACTGATGATGATAAATACAGTAGAATGCACCTGTGTGTAATCAAGTCTCCGTATAAATGCACCTGCTCTTTGATAGTCTCAGGATTCTGTTTAAAGCGCAGAGAGAACCATGAAAACAAAGGAACACACCAGGCAGGTCCGAGATACTGTTGTGGAGAAGTTTAAAGTAGGATTTGGATAGGTAAAGATTTCCCAAGCTTTAAACATCTCAAGGAGCACTGTGCAAGCAATTATATTGAAATGGAAGGAGTATCAGACCACTGCAAATCCACCAAGACCCGGCCGTCCCTCCAAACTTTCATCTCAAACAAGGAGAAGACTGATCAGAGTTGCAGCCAAGAGGCCCATGATCACTCTGGATGAACTGCAGATATATCTACAGCTGTGGTGGTAGAGTCCAGAGGTGGGACAAAGTCATTGTTTAGCAAGTCACAAGTCAGTCTCAATTCATTGCCCTCAAGTCCCGAGTCAAGTCACGAGTCAAGACAGGCATGTCCCGAGTCGAGTCCAAGTCAAAGGCCAACAAATCTCAAGTCAGTCCCAAGTCCTACGGTTTGACTTTCGAGTCCTCTCGAGTCTTTTTGACCGTGATTTGTTTCTTGTTGGTCTCTACGTACTTTTGTAGGCAAACAAAATAATGTTAGGAATCATTTTGCTGGTGCATTCTCGTTGGTCTCTGACCCATGGACTAACAGTTTGTTCCATGTCATTGGCTGCTGGTAAATCAAAACTATCTATGTGATCTAATTGGATGTTGTGCCAGATGCAGGCTCAGTTACACATGCACAGACCACACATAAAATCAGAGCAGTCTGTGTCAACATACTTTTTATCTTTGGGGTTTTTAATGGGAAGTAGCAAGTGCAGCAGTGCAGCATATATGAATAAGAGTATTGGGCTAGGACCTGTATCTATATAATCAGTTTAATGTCCGTAGTGGTTATTGTTCCAAAGGACTGAAGGGACCAATGGAGGGGAAGGACCCTGGCCTGTATGAACTGGACCAGCATTAGTAATATCTCATAATTACCAATATATCATTACATAATAAAATGTCTCATATAAATTAATTCAATCAGTCAAAGCACTGATTCTCATATCAATGCACCATAAACAATAGTGCAAATATTAATCTAGCTTAGTGCACATAATCAAAACAACTATCTAATGTACAAACAAAGATGGCGCCTCGTACGGTCGACATGGCTCTTTGCTGCTCTCTTTTTCTTTTGTTTTTACTTTTTAACTGCGCATCTGGCTGTTCCTACACCCGTGAGGAACTTATGAACATCCGACCCACCGTTCCCATGGACCTATTGCCTGTTTTCTTGGCATCTGCGGCTGATTTAGTTCATGTTCTAGCCAAAAAAGTGTGGGCCCGTAAAAGGGGAAAGCGCTAGGAGGAGAGGAGCGCGCACGGCTCTCCCCGGCATTTTTCTCTCCAACGTACGCTCACTGGGCAATAAGATGGACGAACTCAGCCTGCTCATGAGAAGAAACAAGGACTTCGCCACATCCTGTGTCCTCTGCTTCACTGAGTCCTGGCTAAATGAGCGGATCCCGGACTGCGCTCTGGAGCTGCAGGGCTTTGGGCTGTTCCGCGCGGATCGCCATTGTGCGCTCTCAGGGAAGAGCAGAGGCGGTGGGCTGTGTTTCTACGTCAATACAAACTGGTGTAACGATGTGACAGTGATCTCCAAGCACTGCTCTCCTGCTCTGGAATATCTTTTCATTCATTGTAAACCATATTACTCCCCGCGCGAAATTGTTTCATTCATTCTTGCCTCTGTTTACATACCGCCATGCGCGGACGCGCGCGAGGCTCAGCGCGCACTCGCAGAGCAAGTACTGTGTATGGAACGCTTATACCCGGACTCTTTGATTATTATCCTGGGGGATTTTAATAAGGGAAACTTGAGCCAGGAATTACCCAAATACAGACAGTTTATCAAATGCCCAACCAGAGAGGAGAACACTCTGGATCACTGTTACACCACCGTGCGCGGAGCTTTTCGCGCTGTTCCCAAGCCAGCCCTCGGCTTCTCAGATCACTCCATGATACATCTGGTTCCTGCTTACAGACAGAGAAGCTCTCGAAACCTGCAGTGAGGAGCTCCAAAGTGTGGTCTGATGAAGCTGTGGAAGAGCTGCGCGCGTGCATGGAATCTACAGACTGGGACCTTTTCAGAGCTGCCACAGATAGTTTGGATGAATACACGGACACTGTGACGTCATACATTCACTTCTGTGAGGATAGCATCATTCCAACAAGGACCAGGGTCATCTATAACAACGACAAACCCTGGTTCACTGCTAAACTCCGGCAGCTCAGGAAAGCAAAGGAGTCTGCTTTCAGGGAGGGGGACCGCAGCGGCTACAAAGCAGCTAAATATCAGTTCAGGAGAGAACTGAAAGCAGCCAAGTCCCGGCACAGAGAACGACTACAGGAGCAGTTTGGTAACAACGATACTGCTTCTGTCTGGAGGGGCCTACGGGAGATCACCAACTACAAGCCCAAAGCCCCCCCCTGTGCTGACGACCACAAGCTAGCTGACGATCTGAACTTATTTTTCAGTCGCTTTGATGCTGCCCCTGACACCGCTCCCTCCCCCACCCCCCACTACTCTAACGACCCACCCTTCAGCCCTGCCCCCAGCCTAACAATAGCCGCTAAAGAGATTAAACAACTCTTCCTGAGGCTGCACCCCCGCAAAGCTCCTGGCCCGGACCACGTGTCTCCGGCCACTCTGAGACACTGCGCCAGTGAGCTTACTCCTGTGTTCACGGACATTTTCAATACCTCTCTGCAGTCCTGCCATGTCCCGGCCTGCTTCAAATCCTCCATCATTGTCCCCGTCCCGAAGAAGCCCAGGATCACAGGACTCAATGACTACAGACCTGTAGCACTTACGTCTGTCGTCATGAAGTCATTTGAACGCCTGGTTCTCTCCCATCTCAAGTCCTTCACCTCCCCCCTCCTGGACCCCCTGCAGTTTGCCTACAGAGCCAACAGATCTGTAGACGACGCCATTAACCTGGCCCTCCACCACATCCTACAGCACCTGGACTCCCCGGGGACCTACGCCAGGGTCCTGTTCGTGGACTTCAGCTCTGCCTTCAACACAATCCTGCCATCCCTGCTCCAGGACAAGCTCTCCCAGCTCAACGTGCCCGATTCCACCTGCAGGTGGATCACTGACTTCCTGACGGACAGGAAGCAGCGAGTGCGTCTGGGGAAGAATGTCTCGGACTCTCGGATTATAAATACAGGAGCCCCACAGGGCTGTGTTCTTTCTCCCCTGCTCTTCTCCCTGTACACCAACCACTGCACCTCCAGCCACGACTCCGTGAAGCTGATCAAGTTCGCGGACGACACCACCCTCATTGGACTCATCTCCAACAACGATGAGTCCGCCTACAGGAGGGAGGTGGACCGGCTGGTGTCCTGGTGCAGTGGTAACAACCTGGAGCTGAACGCCCAGAAGACAGTGGAGATGATTGTGGACTTCAGGAAGAGCACTGTTCCCCCACCCCCACCCTCCGTGATGGACTCCCCCATCACCTCTGTGGAGTCCTTCCGTTTCCTGGGCACCACCATCACCCAGGACCTCAAGTGGGAGCCGACCATCAGCTCCCTCATCAAGAAGGCCCAGCAGAGGATGTACTTCCTGCGGCAGCTCAGGAAAGCCAAGCTGCCTGCACAGATGTTGGTGCAGTTCTACACGGCCATCATCGAGTCCATCCTCACCTCCTCCGTCACCGTGTGGTTCGCTGGAGCCACAGTCAGGGACAAACAGAGACTACAGCGCATTGTGCGCTCTGCAGAGGAAGTGATCGGCCGCAGCCTTCCATCGCTGCAGGACCTGTACGTCGCCCGAGCTCGAGGCCGGGCTGGTCGTATCACAGCCGACCCCTCTCACCCTGCACATGGACTATTCCAACCACTCCCCTCAGGCAGGAGGCTGCGGTCCATCAGGACTAGAACCTCCCGCCACAAGAACAGTTTCTTCCCCTCTGCTTTTGGACTCTTGAACACTTCTTAACCTGTCCCCCCGCCCTTTACTTTACTGCCCATCATACGTCACTTTACTTCACTGTACTGCTGTCACCTTACATTGTGTGCACCATGTGCACTTGTATATTGTAAATAGTAACTGTAACTCTATTTTAAATTTAAATTTATTCTTTAGAAGTGTTTTTTATTCTTATTTTTATTATCTCTTTTTGACTGTTGCACTGAGCCAAAGCAATTTCCTAGTCTGTGACCTCCTGTTACTTACGTGGCAATAAAAATGATTCTGATTCTGATGTATGCAAACTTTAGCAGGAGGAGCACAGCAAAAACATACTCATAATAATAGGCCTCGGCGCCCACACAGAAAAATATAAGAAATAGCTAACAGAGCAGCGCAGGCTAGCGCTAGTTTGACTCACCAGTTCCTCTTTAAAACACGGCACACAGTGTGACAACTGCGTCGATTCAATTGTATGAGGCGCCTGTAGTGAAAGCATATCAATTACGGTTTGTAGAACAAAATATGACGTTAGGTCGCGATAAATACCTGCAGCTCGCTCATTTCCAGCTCCCCTAGACAACACACCCACCGGTGAATGCAGTGCGCTTGTTTAGGGAAGTGTTGCTGCGCGAACTGCGGGGAACTCACGTTCGAACTCTCTCGCGAGCGCTACAACTACCGCGAGGCTTTGTTTCTTCAGAGACGGGATAGATAGAAAGAGAGATGCGGAGAAAGGTAAAAATGGCCCGGGTTACGCAAGTCTTTGCAAGTCAATTGGCGCAAGTCCAAGTGAAAGTCAGAGTCATTGATGTTAAAGTCCAAGTCGAGTTGCAAGTCTTTTTACATTTGGTCAAGTCGAGTCTAAAGTCATCAAAATCATGACTCGAGTCTGACTCGAGTCCAAGTCACATGACTCGAGTCCACACCTCTGGTAGAGTCTGTCCATATGGTGCTTTCAGACCGGATCATGCGTTGCGTCGGGTTTCAATGCAAAGTATATGGTGGCGCGCGTTCGACCGCCACAACGCACGGACCTCTCGGCACGCACAAACGGACTGTTCAATAATGACGCACGGACTTGGCGGGAAAGTGAAAAGGGAGGAGCAGGAGCGAAAAATCAACGCCCACAGGACATTCTGCTCATCCTTTCCTTGGGACGTTCGTGCGACAACCAATCAAAGAGCAGCAAAGTGGTCACGGGGACATTAGCGGACTGAGCGAGCAGACTGAAAATACTTGTAAACAGCCAAAACAGGACCCACACCAGGCTTCACCAGAACTCAAACCAGGGTTGACAATGGGGGACTCTGTGCTTGTGAAAATATGCGTTGTCATGCTCCCGTGACCTTATGCATCTGCTTCGAGTGTGTTCGCCGATGCGGAAATTCTGTTTAATAATATGAAAAAACGTATGGCGCACCTCCGTGAACACATACTACTGTTATATAAAGCCCGTGGAATGTCTGTGAGCAAAGACACGCTGCACAGCTGTAATTGCAGCAAAAGGTGGCGCTACGAAGTATTAGCGCAAGGGGGCCGAATAATATTGCACGCCCCACTTTTCAGTTTTTTATTTGTTAAAAAGTTTAAATTATCCAATAAATTTCGTTCCACTTCACGATTGTGTCCCACTTGTTGTTGATTCTTGACAAAAAAAATAATTTTTATATCTTTATGTTTGAAGCCTGAAATGTGGCCCCCTTGAACTTTTGCAAGGCACTGTATATTTCTGCAGCCAAAACAAAAACAAAGTAATACATCTAAATTGTCTTTCAAAAGAACACAAACATAATAATAATAATAATAATAATAAAATAGACCATGTCTCACGATGGGAGATGATCATTTTGTGTTTTTCAGTCCACAAAAGTTATTCTGCCTCATACCTCTCCCTCCTATACTTTTTCAGATGTTCTAGTTTTCTTGTTACGCCTTATCAGTGGCAACTCAGACGCCAGTAAGTCCACAAGTAAAGTTGGTGCTGGATTCGTAAAAGTTAGAATGATACTGTTCCTTCCTGTCAGCTGCACATGAGATGGTATGGAGCAAGAGGCAGGACATTTATTCGTATATATACCTTTCATGCATAAACCGCATTTCACAATTCATACATTGAGCTTGTGCTTTTCCAGACAGTATTTGAGCTGTAATGCCAAAGTTGTGACAGTCGCCCAACGCCTTAAACCACTACGCCGCAGATGAGCATTTCATCAAGCCCCAAGGAGCTCGGTTTATTCACCAAATTTTATCGACACAAAAACAACATGATTTATAGTGGGATAAACCAAATTCTTAGGCTCTTGTCCAGTCCGTAGCAGTAAATCAACACCAGCATTATATTTCTAAATCAGATCCAGATGAAACATTTTCCAGAAAGTTTGGCGTCAACCAGCAATCATTTCCCAGTGTGTGTTTATGGTCTGTATGAGATTGTAATTTAACTCACCTTATCCTTGTTTGCCTTTATCTTGGACATCACCGGTAGATAGGTCCTGTAATACAAATACAAAAAATGTGTACAAACCTTCGAACAAAGGTTTATGCGTTGGAATGTTGCTCAATACTTCTGTACAGTTAAAATTTATTGGAGTGATACTCAAGTGCCCCAAAATAAAAAAAACAGAATAAAAAATACCATGACCAGATGGTGAGTCGGCTGATTCGCAAACAAGCCGCACTCTCAAAGCATAAAATAATAAACATGGAAGAGCTGTTTTGGCAGGTGCTGCAATTTCTCTCATGTTGAACATCTTAAAAATGCTTCGTCAGAGGGCCATTTTTGACCAGAGTTGCTCTTTCCTTGACCTAACTAGCTTTTGATTTTTTTATTTTGATTGCACAGGAAGTAGTTGTGACATCACCAATTTGCCAAGTCTAAGTTAACTTTAGGTTTTAAACTGTTGTTAAATGTGCTTTTCACTAGTCACTCATTGTATCCCAGCAATTGGGTGAGTAAAACAGGATAACACAAAAATAGCTTTGCCTTTTCTTCAGAGGCTGTCTGTGTAGAAAATAAAACTATTTATAATCAGTTCATATTTTGTACAAAGGCTGTCAAAAACTATGGCATGTATGCAGCAACATGTGAGGTACTTTGGCCCCTTTCCCTTTGACGTTGTGGACTCTCATTGTGAATGATAAGAATATTAAGATTGTTTGTCAAAATCAAGTTTATACATAAACTTAACATTTTGGGGGAGGTGGACCTGGGTGCGCACAAGCTCGACCATATGCACACCACACCATATGTGCAAAGACAAAAAAGTAAAAGCCATATACTGTATTACTATTTCATTAAATATTACAAAATACAAACTATATGACAAATCATTATATATACATTTTTTTCATGTCTTTTCACTGTACAATTATATGTATAAGTAAGATTGACTAGGGGGAGTGTCTTCTTAATGCTGCTTACATGTGATTGACTTGTTACATAAACAAGCGAACATATCAATGCGCCAACACAAATTGTGAGTGACAAAAGTGGTAAATGAGTTCTGCTAATTCGCAAGATTAGTCTGGCAATGGAACCAAAATGAATCATCCTAATTAAAGTATCTCATTAGGAGTGCAATGAACGTGCCTTGTTACAATTTGCAGATAACACATGACGGCATCGGGCTTTTCGTTTTCCCCACACAACTTCTGAACCGAGCAAAGCGCATGTTCGGTTTGTGATAATTGCTCTTCACGTGGTTCCAATCTACGTCCAGTTTCTGAGCGGTTGTAAAAGCAGCGAGCGCTCAGTAATGTCAAACCTAATGCAGATATTTCTGCTGGTAGAGAGGAAGTAAACTACAGAGGATGATTGCTTTAGCGGAGCAGGCACACAGCTGCACATTTAGATGATAAATTTCCTCAACCCTTTGTCAAAAACAGTTCGGACACGTTTTGTTTTTCCGTCTGACCACTACACTGCAAAAGATGACAGAATTAAAGACAAAAAAAATGCTAAAATTTGGCTAAATGTATCTAAATTTGAGCACATTTTGACTGCCTTAAAACAAGATTTGCCAGTGGAACAAGAAAAATTGTCTTGTTTTAAAAAGATACAAGATATTTTTCTCTTGGAATGAGAAAATAAAGCAATAGTTCTTGAATCAAGTCAAAATTGCTTGTCTCATTGGCAAATCGCATTTTAAGACAGTCAGAATGAACTTAAGTCAAGTTAAAAAAACTCAATTCTAGCAATTATGATCTCATATTTGATCATTTTTTGCAGTGTAATTAGTCTAAATACGGCACAAGCTGGGGTGGATGATATTTCTGGGGAGATTACAATTGATAGAGGGACGCAGAGCTGGGACTATGTTGCAGATTGTAGCTCAGTGTAATCATTTCTAGAATTAGCATGAGAAAAACATAACTGAATATTCATCAGACAAAAAGGCTGTCAGGCGCGTTATTGATTGTTTGGTTGCTTGTTAGCAGAATGCCTGTACTTGTGATGTATGGAAGGATAGAATGCAAGTTTTTAATGGGTTTAACGTTGTCTAGATCAGGCGGCGGAAAAGATTAAGAGATTCTCTAGTCGTCCCAGTGTGGATATTTCAGTGTTGCATCGTAAGGAACAGAAGAGTCGGAATGAGGAGCACACAACGCAAGATAGAATGAGTGAATATTAAAGCAGCAGTAAGCGATTTTTGGGTGTTAATATACGTCTTAAATATTGATATATTCCAATAGCCATCACTTATATAGAGTGTTTGTACCTAAACACGGATCTCTCAGTCCTTCCAGTCTTCTCCCACCTATATATTAAAAAAACCTCACATCCTATGCGCTTATCCAATGACGAGAGAGCACGCCTTATAAGGGGTTTCTCCCGTGTGTGCACGCGCACTCTTCAAAACAAACATGGCGGAGAAGGAAAAGCCGCCTCCAGCGCTGCTGCAGACGAAATACCATGGATTTATTAAATACAGGCAAAACGCCAGAAACAGAGGAACGACAAAAAGTAGGAGCAACATGGTGACCAGCTGCACTCATGTTGGCGACCTCTAGCTCCGTGGATTCCTCTCTCCGACTGAACAGGTGAGCATGTTACTCAGTAGTGGCAGTAGTAGTTGTATTATTTATACATATTGTTGCCTGAGACTGTAATGCGGGCTTTCACCAAGTTAGCTAGTTAAAAATCCCCAGCTGTTGTAGAAATACGGATAATGCCACAAAATATATTTTGTGGCAATAACTGCGCATTACCTTGGCTTAGCTTTGAGAAACAACAACAGACAACACAACATCGAAGCCTTAGCCCAGCCTCAGCCATCCATAAACTCCGGTCAATTATTAGTTCCCCACATGTACAAAATTAAATGACCATATCACTAGAGTTCCCCCGTGAAGTGGTGTTAGCATTAGCGTTCGCTGTTAGCATTAGCGTTCGCTGTTAGCATTAGCGTTCGCTGTTAGCATTAGCGTTAGCTGTTAGCATTAGCTGTTAGCATTAGCTGTCTGTAGTTGTGAATATGATGTGGCTGCTACGAACACTTCTGATCTGTATGAATCGTTTGTTTTTGCCAATAAACATAGTTGCTTGCACTATATATATATATATATGTAGGTCTGCATTTCATTCTTCAATGACTAAGTTTTGCAACTTGCACTCTGTATATTAGTTTTATTGTTATAAAAACAATATCTCTTTACCTCAAATCTAACTTCCGTGACCACTACATACATTTTTATTATTATGTATTGAGAATAAGTAAGAAAAGTCTTGCTGACTACTACCAAATAAATTATGAGCATGATATAATATAGACATTGTAATAATTTACATGTCTTCATTGCATTCTTTTCTCTGTATCTTTTCCAGTATGGCCTAAATCAATTGGAATGAGGTCTTCAATGTACAAGAGTTCAAAAGCCTCCATAATGCAAGTTAAATAACTATAAAAAAAAAAAAAATGCCATAACGACTAGATACTTTTCTGATGACCTCTTCTTTCTCTAGTATTGACTGGGAAGACAAGACTTTGCTTCCATAATTAGAAGAATGGCCATTGTCATCTCCTGAGGAAGACTTTACACCCCACATTTGTCATGTAGGTTGTTGTGAATGCATATATGGGACGCAGTGATTATGATGATAATGATGTTGGGATGTGTGTGTCGTTCACCCCTACAGTTGTGTTGCTGCCCTGAGGTCCAAAATGAATATCGATCATGTTCCAGGAGTCAGTGTTGACAAAACTGTCGCTGAGTTTCTTCAACAATCAAGAGGAGTGAGATAATCACTCGACTCCCAAAACAGCCGATGTAAGTGTCTTTCTCTCACAATGCACAGTCTCTCACAGTCCAAATAAACATGTTCAAGGATCCTGTGGATCAGGGGCCACTCCTGGTGATCAATAAATACTGATGTTGTTGATGATGAATATATCAAAGTCATATTTGAGTAGATAAAACTGATGTCTCTTCTATTATGTTTCAAAGGAAAATCTCTGCCAGAGGAAGACTCCAGTTCCTTCAACCTGGGCCCCTGAAGCGTGACTGTCTGTGCGTGTGACTGTGTGTGCGTGTGACTGTGTGTGCGTGTGGCTGTGTGTGCGTGTGGCTGTCTGTGCGTGTGGCTGTGTGTGCTTGTGACTGTGTGTGCTTGTGACTGTGTGTGCTTGTGACTGTGTGTGCTTGTGACTGTGTGTGCTTGTGACTGTGTGTGACTGTGTGTGCTTGTGACTGTGTGTGACTGTGTGTGGCTGTGCTTGTGACTGTGTGTGCTTGTGACTGTGTGTGCTTGTGACTGTGTGTGCTTGTGGCTGTGTGTGCTTGTGGCTGTGTGTGCTTGTGGCTGTGTGTGCTTGTGGCTGTGTGTGCGTGGCTGCTTATGAATTATTTTGAGGAAATGTGTTCAAACAAACTACAACATAAAGATTAACATTTTGTTAGATATCTCTGATAGTGTTCGCTGCAGCAGCGATGGATAAGGACCTGGATAATAACAGTGTTATTCATTTGAGAAAAAAGTGATAACACAAACGTTGCCTTACCATCACTTGTAATTATTCGTCTTAGTAGGGACATTGTGTATATTTTTCTGGCTATAACTTCAAATCTTCTTTTACATAATAAAGTTTCTTAGACTCGTTACAGACTGTATTTGTTTTCCTACTATAAAACAAAGCACATTGAAAGAGGTGAATGTATTTTTTTTTTATTTTGAAATAGTACAACTACAAACATATTTCAGAACTGCAGAGTGGACGTGCACCATGGGGGCCGCTGAGGACGTGCACCATGGGGGCCGCTGAGGAAAGCACGTTTTCAATGTCTGTTGGCACCTTTCACAGACGCATCAGGGAAAGGATCTGGTCATCAGCTTCTCTGGACAGAGGGCGTTCAGTGCTTCCTGAAAGAACCGTTATGACAAATGACTTTATATATTCTGTTACTTGTAGCTTTTCTTTCAAAGTGGTGAGTTTCCTTACAGTTTAATAGTGTAACGTAATTAGTTATGACAGTACTTTTGCGTTTCGGACAAGCTTTACTGGAATTGTTTTTCAGTCCCACATCTCACTGTACAGCTCTGATACACTTTGATTTTGTCTTCATTCTCTGAACAATAAGCACATAATACAGATGTTGATTACATCAATAAATGTATCTTTATTTTGTGACATTGAGAAGGCAGCTTCCAGTGAGATGCAGCTTTACTTTCACACAATACATTACTACAGTGTTGTCTATAAAGAACTCCAAATATACAAATTGTGAGGAAAGCAGTAATGTATTACTTTAAATAACCTTCATGTAAAGCTTTGTTGTTGTAATGTATATGCATTACATTCATCTAATACATATGCACTGTAACATCTGTTACAGTGCATAATGTTGAGACACGTCACACTGCAATCTGCAACAGTATGTTTATCACAACAGTTATCAGTGTACCAACTATAAAAGCAGTATTATTCTATAAAAGACTGGATTGTTTTTATCTCTTTCTTAGTGATGCTATCCTAGCTAACACCTACAACAAGCTGCTTCCAGTGTTATAGCTAGGTTACAACTGAGCTATTCTATGCTAATATTTCACTCCCAGAGTTTGTTGTTAATATACTTACGAGTAGACCTGACAGAGATGAACGTGCTGCTGCCATCACCAAGACGATGCGCGTTCATGTGGTGTGACGAGGGGACGGGGGCGGGGCTACTAACTCGCTCAGGCAGAAGAAACTGCCGGAAACGACCAAATCGCTTACTGCTGCTTTAAGCATAGCAACTATATAAAATTAATCTCTACATGTGATACTACTGTACATGTTAGCATGTGATACTAGGGATGCACCGATTGTGAAATTTTGGGTCGATACACCGGTACCAATGTTTTTCTTTTTGCACACTGGGGCTGTTTTTGATGAGGGAACAATGTTGTAACATAAAACATTTCTAAACATGAAGCTCAAACACATTTGAATTTGCATAAAATGTCTGCTTTAAAGGCACACTGTGTAATTCTTAGTGCCATCTAGGGTTTAGAGACCTTATATTGCAGTCCAGGGTGTGCTTTGACAGTGCTCCTCAACTCTCAGTCATTCACCAGACTGCCAAGGAAAGAATACTTTAGTTTGAGAAATGACCGGGTCTCTCCAAAATGTCTCGGGCACTTGACAGTCACGTGGAGGTGACATGTAAACAAGACCACGTTCAGACGCTGCACCCGCTGCACAGAGGCCCTACTGACTTTTACCATGGATCTATTATAATAATTAGTATTACAAACGAGGTGTGAAGAGAAGAGGTGCATGGAGGATCAACGTCTGTGGGAGCTTAAAACTACAACTATCAGAGAAGCAGGACATATACACAGTCGCGGCAGGACATGGCTAAAAGCTCATGTTAGCATTAGCGTTAGCCACAGCATGGCATCTGCATCATGATAAGAAAATAGAACATCCACATCCGCTGCTGATGAAGTATTCTGGCGATTGTTTTGTGGGGATTCTGTGTGTTTTATTTGAGGCTTTGTTCCTGAATTAGTTTAGTTGAAACTTGTGAGTAGTTTGACTGCGCTGGGATCGCGTCAGAACATCCTGAGACTGTTGCAGATTCTGCCTCGTTCTCATTATTGTCAGTGTGAAAAAAGTTACGTATTGTTCACGTGTGAGTCTGTTGTGTACAAACTACACAATGTGCCTCCTGTTGTGTTAACGCTGTCTTTCAGTGCGTGTGGTTTGCGATGTTGACACTTTGCTGCTATGACGCTGGACTTCTGCATAATTATTTTTCAAAAATATTGATGTTTGGGTCGTTCTTTTACATAACTGTGGTCCTCCATGGTTCTTTTATATAACTGTGGTTCCTTCTTCCAACTTGTGAAGGCACGGTGAAAGAAAAGATATCAGTATAGCACGAAAACGCGATTCTCGCATACTTTTGTCTTTTATCCACCACTGTATTTCAAGATGGTGCATTGACATGGAGAGGACTCCTCTCTCATGGACATTTTTAAGTTAAAGACGAAGCCTATGAAAACAATTTAAAGAACATGGTGGAGATAAATATTCTTAAAAAGGTCACATTTGTTATTAGTTAACATGTTTTTTCAAATGGACCAACTGTAAAAATCCAGAGGGTGGCTTAAAGATTTCTCTGCTTATGTCACAGCACAGATCAGAAAAGCTCTCTGTGTTTTTGTAACAGGTTTATAATGTCCCAGGGGCCAGCCATTATTCGGCCAAACATTCAACAGTGTAGTCTTTGTATTGTAGCAGGTGCTATTCAGGCCTTTATCATAGTTTTGATTGAAAAATAACTTTTTTTTCTGTGGCTGGGGATAAAGTTACACTCTGTGACAGTGAAATGCGACGAGGAAATTGCTAGCCAGAAACAAAAAGGAATTAGCTGAGAAATGCTTATGTCTGCTATAGAGATGAGGGTAATTGCAAGTTCCGCTGCCAAGTCCCTGCAGCTTTGCCCCCAACACATCACATGCAGAGGGGGTCCAGGCTTGTTCAGTTTCTATAAATCTGGGTGTATGTCGGGAAATCCAAATGCTTACTGTTTAATTGTGCCGGTAGTGAGAGCGCTAAGAATCCACTGTAAGTCCAGAGTCTTGAATGGGATGAGGACGAGGCTGGTGCTGTTCTCCAGGTCGATGGCACTCTCTGGGTACATGAGGTGGTGAGTGGTTCTGGAGCCAACGTCACGCTCAAAGCCCCTGGTAGGAGCCTGGTTCATCCTGGAGGGGACAAAATCCATAAACAACATGGTTATTTAGGATTTCTTATTCGCCCAACATTTTTAGTATAAGGCAGTAACAATGAATCCATTAATGACAAGCAACTATTTCAGATGACAACAGAGTTTTTTCTACTTTAGTAATGGAATACATATACAAACATCAAAACATGAATATTCTGAGAATTGTAATTTTAGGACTCAATGTGTAAATTCTTATTTTGTTCAGCACTTTAAATTGCCTTGTGTATGAATTGTGCTATATAAATAAACTTGCCTTGCCTTAAATGTTTAATTGTTAATGACTGCATTAATCTGGGTAAACATTTAGATCCAGTCTTTTGTGAACTAAACAACTAATTGATTAAACAAGAGGTTGATTTGGATTTGTTATTTGGGGAAATGGCTTGTACAAAGAAATACAATGTGATTTTTCTCTGCTAAAAAAATGTAGTTTGGGTATATTTACAGGATTAATGTTACATTGTACATAGTTTAGAGAGGCCAGCACCACCACCAAGCTCCCTTTTTGTGGCCTAATTGACGAGGTGGTGAGGACTGATTGATGCATAATACACAGGCAGACGATGCAAACGCAGCACTGCATGGAAGAGGAAACTCGCGTCTTCTATAGAACACTATATCAATGGTCTCCACTGGATAGGTCCTATCCCCCCACAGCGGACTACGTACACAAAAGTTACGCAGTCCGCTGAAAGATTGCTATCCTGGCTTGTGTCGGGAATTCAAAATCTTTATTGTAGCATCTGGCAATACGTTTTCATTCTCTGTGACAAACAATACATTACATAATATAAACAGTCACATACAAAAAACTGACAGTGCCTCAAATTTTGCAACGGAACGTCCAAGCAGAGATCCACCACAATCCTCGGTCCATTTAGAGCTGAACAATTACTGCCTGGCAAACAAGACATGCTGCTTCTATTATTATGGCGAACAATACTCACTCAAACTGGAGCGGTAATTGGCCATACCGGGCTTGTCAACAAACATGACATGATAGACATTTGCAGTTGGAGGGAGTCTATGGGAGACATTGACCCTGGTGGAACTCGCATCACCTGTTTGAGCCACCTCAGCGCTACTGGCCTCCTCATTACCCACGCAGAAATGACAGCGACATAATAACTTGACATTCACAGCCTGGGTCTGTATGGCTTCAAATGACCTACTATAGCGGGCATTTTGTGTGGAAAATTTGGCATTTTTTGTCAGGCTTGCTTCCACGAGGGAGCAGTCTGTGTAAAAATATATAATGGACCCTCAACCTAGAGACCCAAAGCATTACGAGTTACTTTTAGAAGACAAACATAGTAAACTTCCGCTGTCAGTCTGAAGTAACAGCCATCACTTTGGAATAATACCTGTATTAGACTGTATATATTAACGGACGTAGTCACGCCTATCTCCGGCGTTCTAACTAATGGGCCGAAAAATTGGGCAAAATGGCTGCGGGGGTTAGAAAATTTGAAAAAACGCATCTGCGCATGCGTCAGCCGGCAAGAGCCCCATTCATTTTTACGAGTGACTTCAAAAATTCACAGCGAGTAAACTAGAGTGGTCCAAAAAATTCACCCCCCTCAGCATTGACACACATGTGGAACGGAGCTTTGGGCCAAGAGCCAACTTTTGGTCCATCCTGTAAAGACGTTTTCGAGAGGTCTGCTAATGCTATATGTTCGCATTGGCTAATTCTTATTCCGGGTCCACCCCCATCGGCCCGGGGTGGTATTGCAAGCATGTCAGCGCACGTTATTTTGGCCACTTTTGAGCTGGGACCCGCCCCCACTGCATAATACACACCAGAATATTTTTATTTTTAACATAAATACATGAAGTTGAATATTCTTGCAAACACAGATAAGGCAACTAACACATGGGGACATTTATTGTACAAATTAAATTATATTCTACTGAAAATTTGAATATTATAATTTATTTTCTGTAATTCAACTTACAATGTGAAACTAATATATGACAAACTCATTACACGCAGAGTGATAAATCAAGCCTCTATTTTTTATGTTGATGATAGACTTGTAAAAACCACTTTGCATGTAAGGAGTCTACAATCAAACTGCATGCAGTTTGATTTCCAGAAAGAAATGAACTTCTGAACTACATTCTAATTTGACTAGTTTACATTGTACATCCAAAAATTATGTGGTTTGGAAAACAAAATTGCATATACATAACGTAATTGCTGAAGATATATAAAAATAAAAAACATAAAAAAACGTAGTGTCATCAGTCACTTCTGGAGGTACATCAGACACAGGAACACACCTGCAGTTACTGAAGCTGTATTTTTTTTAATTAAAAGCAAAAATGGATGTCTCATTAGTATTCAGCGTAAGAAAACATCTACAGCGATTGTATAAACATAACAGATATAATGTGTATATTTTTTCACATGTGACAATGATAAATGTGTTATGTGTTTATTTATAAATCACCTTGTCCAACATTTCATAATATTTAGATAAGCACACAGTTATCAGCTCAGGTCATCATCATCATCAGCAGCAGCACTGTGGAAGCATTGGCTGGTACTCCTCATCAACAGCTTGAATACCCCTGCATGGTTGGCAAAAAGAGAATCTCCTACAATATTTTGAAAGCAAATATAGAAGAAGAAGAAGAAGGTCTTTTTCAGATTGATATACAGCTATAGCGTAACCACCTGACTCTTGGTTCTTTAGGGTGCTTATGCTCTATAGCTGCATGTGAAATTAGAATATCATTCAAAAGTGAATTTCTATAACTCAACTTCCATGTGAAACTAATAAATGACAGACTCATCACACATAAAGAGATATCAAGCCTGTATTTTTTATATTGATTATTTCATTTTTATTTATACATTTGGGTATAAATAGTGGTGCTAAGTGTACTGGGTGCAGCTCTGACTGCCACCCCCCCGACCCAGAAATGGATTAAGGGGAAGAAAATGGATGGATGGATGGGGCATTTGGGTATGCATTTTATTGAACACACTTCTTTGGATTGTAACCTTCAACTCACTCACCCTGAACTATTGTAAATATTGGAGGAAACCTATGCAGACACAGGGAGAACACGCAAACTCTTGCAACTCTATTCTTGCTGTGAAACCACAAAAGGGACTGTAAGCCATAGTCATCAACATTTATAACAAAGGCTTGGCACATTTTGCAGGTAATCTCATGTTGGTGTCATTAATTGAACTACAGAAATTCGAACGATCACCGAGTTTCACCTGTTTATGCGATTCTCAGTTATAATAAATATGTAAATAAAACGTGACTGGTGGAGACAATGCATTCCCCCTCATTCAGTATTTATCCTTCTGGCTGGGCTCAAATCAACTCTCTTAAAACTCCACAGAACTGAAACGTGACTGGACCTGTACTTGGCTGAGAGAGAGAGAGCGGCGCCGCAGTGCATCCATCAAGTGGCTCATCCAAACAGTGCCCACTATTCTGAGCCAGAGCTGCACTGAATAGAAGACGAACGATACTGGCACAGGGTTTTATTGTGTGGAAGGACATCATTATGGTTTCTCTCTTCTTTCTGAATGCCCCATGGGGAAAAGCCAAAATTGCAGCGTAAATGTGTCCTATGGTTTTGGAAGAGGAGAGCCTGGGAACAGTGGGCCTATGGGGGCCATACCGAGACGGATCATCTGCGCTAGCACAGTGCACAACATTTCCGTGGCAGATTGAATTCCGGCCTAATTAAATCCTGCTCAAATGTTTAGATTTTCAGAGTCGGCTTAAGCTTGAACTTCTCATCTAACAACGTACTTTGCAATGACCTTTCCTTTTTTTCCTCTGGCTGCTCCTTCTCCAGAGTATTTTTAACATCGTATAAAGCAGTGCACCTTGGCCATTCGTTAACTGAAAAGACATGCCAGTGAGCATCTCATGCATTTGATATTCTGGTCTTTTTCCACCTCATTTTTATGTTACAAGGAGAGCTTCCCATTACTCAGTGTTAGGGTCAATCCGAGTCTGTCCAGCCATTCAAAGAAGTTAACTTAGGCTGTTAAGTGGATTCAATGAGCTGCCAGTTCACTTAATCTTGTGTGGGCGTGCAATGTCAACCACCCTAAGCAGACAAATATTTCAGATTGGACTAATCAATATTCATCTTCTGCTCTAACTTCCCCCTGGCACTAGATATTTGTACCAGATGGACTTGAAACAAAATGAAGCAGTCTATAAAAAAGCTCATTTAACAGACAAGATGGTTTCAAGTCACATGGGAGAGTGCGATTCAAAGAGAATTCAGAGAGAATTTCTTATATGGATTGTAAGGATAGACATGAAAAAACTAATGGAATCCAAATAATGCAGTTTTATCTCCAAGTCTTTGGACACTCAAGACATTTCACACGGCATAATTTATTCAATGTGTTAGCCACAGATACCCTTGGGCACACTGGCAGAACCGAGGCAACCGGTATGTACCATCGGCTCCTCTGACCACCACCAACCGTCTAATGACCAAAAAGTTTGTGATTGTACATGAAAGGAAATCCTGCCAGCAAAATCAACCCGTGAGTGGTTAGTGAAAAAGTAGAATATAAATATTCAAAATATGCAATTGAGAATGTAATGAGTGTTAAATACTCATGTTTAAGATTCTTGTTCTAGGTATTGTGTAATTTCTTTTTTTTTTAAACAACAAATCTGTGGCCTAGAGCTGAAACCAAAATACTTTATGGGGTCCCAATATGTGTGGAATCAAATCATGACCTCCTTTGCTTAATTCATTTGAAAGAAGTAATAATTGGAAGAATTAGATCATGGATCCACTGTATTGTGTTTGCTGACCTGGTTTCATCTTATCATTCCGACAAACCAAAAATACAATTCAAGAACATATTCTCTGCCCCTCAGTCTTGTGCCCCACACCCACATTTGAGAACCACTGCTTTAAAGACATTAAAGTAAAAATGATCCTAAGAATACCAGGGAACCAATGCCAGGCTTG